TGCACGTGCTTTCGTCAGGGCTTTCCGTACACTGCGGAGCTGTGCGGCTGCCACTCATTCAGCCATCCGAAACTCCGAAAGTTTCAACGGGAAACTGAAGATCGTAACGTGCTGGACGCCCTTCAATGTTGAAGGAAAGAAAGAGACTGAAAGTTCTGAAAGTGCGTCACGGCCCTCGGAAGCAAGATAGCCGAAGTCCAAGAAACTTCTACATGTCTACACGTTGAACGGCCGCGCGCACGTTATGTTTGCACTGGGGGGGCGGTTGCAGAGAACTGGTCTCAAATCTCATATTGCAGCAATCGCAGATAATGTGAGCTTGTGATTTTTAAAGGACCCCTCAATAGAGCTAAACTCGGCCCGGAACTCAATAATAAAAGGTCCCCTCAATAGAGCTAAACAACTCGGCCCTGCACGTAATATAAACACCCCTCAATAGTCCTAAAACCCGTCCAGGTGTAAAATTTTTATAAGGTTTAGGCAGAGAAGCACTCCTACTACAAAGTGACGCCCTGGAAGAGGAAAGACAGAAACAGGCAAGATAAAGGAGACAGTACTACTGTACTACTGTACTACTACTGAGTACTACTGAGAGCCCCGGGTCCCAAACAACTTCGACCCCGGTCGCCCAAACAACTAAAGATCAGAGAGGCGGACCCTCCGTGATAATTGGGGTTGAGGGGGGTTTAATAATCAGGAGACAACAGTAGACACTTCATGACTTGCGCATTCACTCACACGCTCACCCAAACCACTTCTTGACTCCCAAACTCCCTCACACACTCACTCCAACCGTGCATCCCCTGCAGTCCCTTGCGCAATATTTCCGACATTGCGCGAAGACAAAGTCGAAGGTTTCTTGGTGTCACTTTAGTGTGACCGCACAGAGAAACGTCTGATGATGTTTTCACTTCCGGCTTCTATGCCTTAGAGCCCACCGTAAAGGTCTCTTGGTCCCATCTTGGGTGAAGACCACACAGAAACACGTCCGATGCTTTCACTTCGGTTTGTAAGCCTCGGAGTTTACCAGAAAGGTGTCTTGGTCCCATTTCTTTGGGCGAAAACCATGCAGAAACACGTCTGATGCTTTCCTTTCCGGTTTGTAAGCCTCGGAGCCCACACGGAAGGTCTCTTGGTCTCAGTCTTGGGTGAAAACCACGCAGAAACACGTCTGATGCTTTCACTTCCGGTTTATTTGCCTCGGAGCCCAAAAACAATCTGCACGGCGGTCCCGGCTCGCTTCTGGTCCAGGCATGTTTGACAGCAAAATTGTGGTATTCTTTAGCACATCGTCCATCAAAGTTGCAGTATTTGTCACAGGTCCAGCCCTGCTCTCGCAGCATCTTGCGTAGAAATCGCACTGTTTCCACAGTACCTTAGGTCAATCTGGCTGAGGTTGCTTTTCTCCGTGGAAGCCGTTGCAACCGACGACATACTGGGGAGGCCCACTTTGAAAGGCACCATTTTTGAGCAGTTTTGGGTTTCAAAAGTGGCCCCGAAGCTTTTGCTGGTGAACCAATTTTTTTTATGCCGTGTTTGCAACAGTTGTCAAGCCAGACGGTGCTTGCCGAGCACGCCAGCAGTCCGGCTTTGGGACTCTGACATTTCGCAGCAGGGTCCAGAGTGCTGCCCACATTGTGTTGTTTATCGCAAATTCGGTTTCTCCGAACAATAGAACCACTAGGCGAGTGGGAAAAATGCTATTTCTACTGGAAAATGTGCGCTGCGCCACAGCGGGAGACACAGAACAGAACGGTTTTAAGCGTTTTACAGTAGCGCGGCGCGCAATCATAACGTGCTTTAGGCGCGTTATGATCATTTTTGCTGGCAATTTCCAAGGAAACGTCAAAATCGTAACGTGCTTCGTGCGTCAAACAAAGCTCTTTTAGTCTTTTTTTGTGGCGCGCGAAGCACGTTACGATTTTGAGTTTTCCCTTGAAAATGCCAAGCCAAATCAATCGTAACGCGCCTAAAGCACGTTACGATTGCGCCCCGCGCTACTGGAAAATGCCCGCGTGGGACTGACAACATTCGTTGTCGACACTCCTGGAGCTTTCCGCACGGGCTACATTGTCAATGTCAAGCCGGGCTCAGCCGCCGCGCGCGCGGCCAGCTATCGAGCAGGCGTTGCATGTCACGGGTTTTGGAGTCCAAGCCGAGCTAGCCAGCCCATTGCCTGGTAGAGCTCTTCCCAGAGGACGTGGCTGATGGAGGGCTCTAAAGCGGCAATAATGCCCCACCAATGGGAAGGAGAGGCAATGATCAGTGGGCGAATGGGCCGTGTACTGCGAGCATTTGGAGTGTTCCGGAACCCAGGTTCGAACTCCCGGGAGGTCGAGGGGAGGGAAGGGGGAGAACATATTCCTCCGGAACTCAGGATTGAACTCTGGGTTCGAAATTCTCGAATCTAGGTTGAACCCGGAGTTTGAATATGTTCAAACCCTGGGTTCGGAAACTCTATGTTCGAACCCGAGGTTCGGAACTCTATGTTCGAACCCTGGGTTCGGGAACTCTATGTTCGAACCCGAGGTTTGGAGAACTTCACGTTCGAACCCCGGGTTTGGGAACCCCTCCTTCTTTTCCAGAGAGTCCAAACCCTGGGTTCGGAACTCTATGTTCGAACCTGGGGTTTGGGAACTCTAACCGGAACCCCGGGTTCCGGAACCCCCGTGCCCCCGTCCTCCAGGGAGTTCGAGGGAACTCTATGTTGGAACCCGAGGTTTGGGGAACTCTATGTTGGAACCTCGGGTTCTGGAATTCGTCTCCCCCTTGGAGCGTTCGAAGCCTGGGTTCCGGAACTCCACGTTTGGGGGGCTGTGCTCCCTCCAACCTCCCTGCTGTTTTTAGAAGCTTGCCGAAAACAAAGAAAAAGACTGCCAATGACCAGTCCCTGCCACAAAAGAAGAAGAAGCCACACGAAACCGCTTTATGGGTGGTTTTTGCGAAGAAATAGAAGAAAGACAAAACAAAGAAACAGATTGTCAATAAGGAGGAGTTGAAAAAAACTGCCAAGGACCAGTCCCTGCCAAAGAAGCCACACGAAGAAGAAATAAAAGAAAGACAAAACAAAGAAAAAGATTGTCAATGACGAGGAGTCTTTCTTCTCAAGGGAGCTTCAGAAGGACATGAAGTCTTCTACTAGAATGCTAAAGGCGCGAACAGATAAACCGCTTTGTGGGGGGTTTTGCGGTGGTTTTTTGCGAAAAAATAAAATGAAAGAACAAGAAGCAATGATACAAGAGTTCGAACTCTGGGTTCGGAAACTCTATGTTCGAACTCTGGGTTCGGAAACTCTGTGTTCAAACCTGGGTTTCAACTTCGAACTTTGGGTTCGGAAACTCTCATGTTCAAACTCTAGGTTCAAACTCTCGCCTTCTAGAGTTCAACTCCAGATTCAACTCCAGTTCAAGAAGTTCAGAGTTGAGTTCAACTTGGAGTTCAACTCAAAGTTCGAACCCAGGGTTCGGAGGTGAACTTCTTCGATGTTTGGAACCCTGGGTTCGAGGCTTCGAACTAGTTCGGAGTTTCAGAACCGGGTTTGGAACTCTAAGTTCCAAACCTTGGGTTCGAACACCCCCCCAAAAACCCATGTTGTGTTCTGCTGCCGTGAGACGTTGGTGGACGTCCTTGCCAGACATGGTGAAGCGCTCCGCCTTCAACAAGGCAGATCAACCGCACCCGTGGTGAAGAAGTCAAGCATCCAGTGTTGGCATTGGCTGGGCTTGCGTTGCTGAGCGGAGGCGGGCCAGCGTGCGCAATTCCATCTCACCTTTGCACCTCCAGCGAACTGTTGGATCACCAAGCCAGCACTTTGCATTGGCCAGAATGGCAGATGATGAGCCTTCCTGCTGTCCCCCTCGGCATCATCAGATTTTGTTCAAGAAGACGCAAGAGGTGCTCAATCTGGACCAGACGTGCATCCAAAGTGGGCGTCTAAGTGGTCAGATCATGAGATCTGGGTTCAGAACTGATCGTCTAGGCGTCTGTCCAAGCGCACTGTGACGGGCGACTTCTTGTCGCTGGACGCCGGCGTCCGCGCCGTTCTTGCGCCTTGCACTCCAGGAACGACTGGTTTGTCCATGGATGTGGCTCTGCGTCGCCGGCAGGATGGAAGTTGCTTTTCCGCGACTCTGCCTATCGCGCGCACGTCAGAAAGTCGCTCACGCGTGCAGTGGGCTTTGGAACAAGCTGACGACTAGAAACTGGATTGGATTCTCCCTGCCAAATGCAGCTCCGTTTCCTTGAATGCACCACGGACAAGGTGGCAGCCTCAGATTCAGCCATGACGGTTCAATCAAAGTCACAGCCCGCCACCGGAAATGCTCTTGATGCTTGGGCTCAAAAGCTTTTTGACCGGCTCGGATGCTCCGCGTCGGTAGCCACTGATCAGACCCTCTAGATGCATTTCTTTGAATACACTCGTGGAGACGTCTTGCCGATGAGTATATTGAGCTGCGCATGACCAAGACGTGCTTTTGCATTGCATGCCTCTGCAGTCTCGGGGTGGAGGTTCAGCCGCGCGTGCAGTGGGCTTTAGACTTTTTGGATTTTGGTGTGCACGATTGCGACTGAACAAAACACAGGGGCTGTCTGTTGTCTGGCGAGACTAAAACGGCTTGCTGGAACCTGGTCTTGGCTCCACTTGTTGTTTTGGGCAGCTTAAAGCGACGGCTCTTTGTTCCGGACTGGTCGCTGAGACTCCGTAGTTTGTGCTGAACGGCCAACACCGGCAAAGTCTGTGTGTCGAAGCCCTTTGTAGAGCTTCGCTTTGCTGTTTCACCGCTTTGTTGTATTTTGGCTTGGTTTGTTGTTTCGCTTGTTTGTAGGGACCGAGTGCTACAGCCGCAGTCGACAAGGCCCAGTCAAGCCAAAAATCGGGGTGGGGTTCAGCCGGGCCTCAGGCAGCAAAAACAAGCGGAAGTGCAATCGCAACGCCGACTCCCCGGCTCCATCTGCATCGGGGCGAGGTCGTGGCAAGTCGGGCGGTCGTGGCTCTGGCAATGGATCGCGGCTTCTGGTGCCCGACGGGTGTTCGAGTCGCGACGGCAACCCGCCTTGCCCGATATGCGGAAAGTTCAACCTCGGCACCTGTCGGATCACAGTGAACCCTGGTGAAAGGTGCAGTAACGGGTACCACATTTGCTGGAAAACGCACTGCCACGGCAAGCACTCGGCCATAACATGCACTGCTCGAGCCGAGTGACAACAGACTGGAGACCTTCACTGCTCCCCGGACCGGGATCCTGAGTTCTTCGCTGCCTCACTCTTGGATTTGGACCATTGGATTCTCTCACTGCTTCGCATATCTGCTCTCTGTTTGACCTTTTGCCTGCAGAGGTTCCCGGGAGAGGGTCGGCGACCGGATCTTCAAAATCTTTCTCCTGTGGACTGTACCGGTACGATGGCCGCAACGGCGTTCGGCGACACTGCCGTCTTTTCCCCAATAGTGCCAGGGTCATCAACCGTTACATCCACTCCGTCTGCCCCGAACACCTGTACACTTCTTTCGGGATTTTTCGGGACCTCTCGGTCCCTCTTCATCGGGATGATGATCGTCCCAGCCTGGTTTTGCCCTTGACTACTTTCTCTGGTGGCGAGATCTTCGTCGCCGACGGCTCTGACACTTTCCGTTTGCCCGGCTCGTCCCTCACGGGCTCCTTGCTGGACGATGGCTTCCTCCTTCGAGCATTGCACTCTGCCTTGGATTGGTTGTCGAACTGTCTTCGTGGCCTACTCTGTGGCTCAGCCTGAGTCTGTCTCCCCTGCGTCGTGCGCCGCCCCGCGCTGAGGTCCCTCTCCTACCCTCTCGGGCTCCCTGCTCTTGGAGTTTCTGATGCCCAGCGTGTTGCACGTGCCAATACCCTTTAAGCATTTTGCCTGCGGCTGGCTGCTTGTTGCGCTTCCCTTCGTTTGGTTTTCTGCCTTGAAGTACCGGACCAGGCTCCTATTACCCGGGCCGTCTTGCGAGCTCTGGCGCGCCTCGGCGGTGCGGCTTCGGCTGATGCTTGGTCGCGTCTTCGGCAAGTTCCCTTTCATTCCTGCATGCACGGCGCGTCGCACCGCTCTGCTCGCTGCTTGTTCGCTTCGTCTGGAGCCTTCGATAGCCTTGGTTTGGTTTGCCAGCACTCCCCCGACTTTCACAGTCGCTGTGTTGTCTCCGGCTCAGCCTCGGCTCTGTCCTTCGGTTCCCCGCCTTCGCAGAATACGCCCCTGTGTTCTGTGAGCGCTTCCTGGCAGCCGCGTCTTCTGCTTCTGGGCGGCCTCTTGCGCCTCGTCCGGAGGCAAACCTGCAACAGCGGGCCCGCGCGCGGCCTCCCCTGATTCCCGAGTTCCGTGCCTTTGTCCATTTGCCTGCCGCCCCGACTGGAAAACAACATAAGGTGTTGGCCTCTCCACAGGGGGACTCTTCAGATGCCACACCCTCCTGCACCGACTTGTCTTACTGTAGGGACCAAAATGAAGCCGGCGAGCCGACAGAACCTAGGTCCTTCAAGGTTGGTTTCAGGTGGGACCCACCAGAGAGTTTTTCCAGAAGGCCAAGGAACTTCAGCATCCGTGCCAGCCCTCCAAGGCAATCTCACCGTCTTTGAGCGATGCCATGCATGATGTCTGACCCAGGACCCTCTCGCCCTCGCCAAGCGCCGGCTGCACGTGATTCAAACCGTCAAGGAAATGAGGCAGGATCTGGAGTCCTGGAGCCAAAGGAGAAGCTTTTTAAGATCTTAGCCCCTAAGAATCTGCTTATCTGAAGGGCACTCCTGCAGGCTGCAGAGTATGACGACCTTGGGGTTTGCGACATGGTCAGCCAAGCCCTGCTCCCGCATTGCCTCAGGACCCCAGACCGTCTCTGACAACCCCAGAAGCTTTGGTGGCCTCCGCGGCCCTCCGCAGAAAGATCTTGCAAACGCATCGCTCGGTCCCTTCCGCTGAGGAGGCCGAGGATCTCTTCGAGGCTACTCTCAAAGAAGTGCATCGGGGCGATCTCTCCGGCCCATACACGGAGGATGAAGTGACTGCTCACTTCGGAGCAGGCGACTGGCTCTTGAATTCACGTTTTTGCATTACCAGGGTGAAAGCAAAAAGGTCCGTGTGATTGATGACGCCAAAATTTCCGGACTCAATTCGGCTTTTGAGAGATCGTTCGGGATTGCCTTGATGGACGTTGATTGCCTGGCCGCCTTGCTGGCCTCCTTTCTTCTGGAGCAAGCAGAGGGTCTGATCTGACCGAGGCTGCCAAGGGACCGTGGAGAGGTGGACAAACAGTTGGCGATTGACGAGGCTAGCAGCAGGCGCTTCTGTGTACTTGGCTTCAAACGAGGCTCTGAATGGGTTTACTTCCGTTGCGACGTGCTGCCCTTCGGGGCCTCTGCATCAGCTTTCTCATTCCTACGAGTCTATCGATCAGTCCATTTCTTGATGGCCAAATACTTGAGTTGCCTCAACACGGTTTACTTCGACGACTCCCCGATAGTCGAGCCTGGCTTCGGGGCCCCGGTCCTACGTTCGGCGGTCCATGCTCCCTTGAACGCCTTGGGATGGGCATTCGACTCCGAGAGGGGGACAAGCGGCTTGAGCTTCAGGAGACTTTCGTGGCTCTGGGAATCCAGGTCAACCTCGCTGACTTGCATCGGGGATCCGTTGTTCTTGCAAACAAGCCGGGCAGGATTTGCAAACTCCAGGCGATGTTCCAAGCTTGTGCCGACAAGGGTTGCATCACTTACGCGGAAGGGGCTGTCATTCAGGGTCATCTCGCCTTCGCCACGGGGTTTTATGCTTCGCGAGGTCTTCGTTTCCTGTCGAAGGCCGTGTCCGCACTTGCTGCAAGGGATTCTAAGAGCGACCAGGTTCAGAAGCTGTGCCGCCTGGCACAGAGGCTCCTCGGGGAAACCCCGCCAAGGCGTTTTTGATCTCAGTGTGCACCGCCCGCCGTGGCTCATCTTCACGGATGGAACGTATGAGCAGGGGAAGGCAACTGCTGGTGTGGTGTGGTACGACCCCGACGGGGATCGGGCCCATACTGCTGAGATCGACGTGCCACCATCCTTGATTGGGTTGTGGCAGCGCGTGGCCGGAGCACAGATCATCTCTCAGGTCGAGGCCTGGGCTTGCTTGGTCGCCAGAAAGTTTCTAGCGCCGAGCCTTTTGCAACGCCAAACCATAGCTTGGATCGACAACGAGGCTGCCCGTACGAGCTTGATCAAGGACTCATGGGATTCCGCTTCCATGAGGGACATTTCAAGGTTGTACCATCAGCTTGACTTGATGCACCCTTCTCTGATCTGGCTGGAGAGGGTGGCGTCTCACTCGAATCCGGGTGACTGGCCTTCCAGGGGCCTTACAGGCGAGGCAAGCAGGCAGCTGGGTGGGTGCCTTGCTATGCCAAAGGATTTGCGATCCGCAGCTCGAAGGTGCTCTGCTTATGCTGGAAGCGGATCCCTTTGATTGTCTCGATGGGAGCTCGCTGTAGTGCCACTCAAGGGGGAAACCGCCGGCACTGCGATGCTCCCCATCAGTCAAAACAGAGTGTGCGAGTGATCGTTCTTCCTTTTCAGTTTTATATGATATATTCATATGAAACATATTTGATTGCAAGCTTTTCTCGAAGACATCTTCAGATGGAGTTTCGTTTGAGACGCGTGCATTCGCTTGCGATGGCGTTGTCTCGGGCGACAGCGAAACTGCGCGCGCGCACACGCACGCGTGCATGAAGCGAACTGTTTTCACACTCTTTTATTTTACTGTCTTCTTGAATTTCATGCTTGCTTTTCTGGAACGAAGAAAACATGAACTTTGTGCACGGCAAAGTTTGGCTACAGGCCTCGATTGTTTCTTCGCCCACCCACCCACTCCTTTGTAAACCGGTACTTTGGTGCGGCCATCCTGGGGCCTCGCAGCTTCGTTTGAGACAAAGCTGTGAGAGCTGAACAAAATCGCTGCGGGCGTCCATGGGCGGCTTCCCCAAGTTGGAGCGGCTGTGGTGCCGGTTCAGAACCTCAACTGATGAGCTGAGGCCTGACATCCCGAATTATAAACTGCAAAACTAGAGGCACATCCTTTCGTCTCTTGCGGGGCCTGTAGGATCTCGTACTGAAAAGGGCAGAGCAGCAGGCCCCGGAGCGCTGCCCGCTACCCGCGTCTGCGAGGCTCCCGGCGAGGAAGACTGAGCGAATGTATAAATCAAAGACACTGGCGAGATATATGGAGCCGCTTCAATACATTAGCGGCAAGATGGAAAAATCTTCTGTAGCTCGACAAAGATGAGGCAGACTCTGGTGCTAATTCGTAATTCGCCGACGCGTACGATCTCACACCCGACAGCGGGAGCGAACAAAAAGGGAAGATAATTTCTCAGCAGATGGCTGTCTCCTGTTACTGATGGAGCCTATGCCGCTATGAAGCAAGATGGCAGTGTGAGCGCATGGGGTTGGGAGGCTTCAGGTGCATCTTCCGTTGCAGGCTTCACTTCTGGTGTCGAAGCTGTCTTTGCAAATGACAACGCTTTCGTGGCGCAGAAGTCAGATGGCACGTTGGTCAGTTGGGGGAAGGGCGTCAGCAGCAGTGGTTTTACTCTGTCCGGCATGGTGCAGTTTGTGACCAGCAGTACGGCTTTGCTGCAGTGAAAGAGGATGGAAGTGTGGTACAGTGGGGGCAAGCTTCGTCAGGCGTACAATTCAGCACCGTGGCGGCAAAAGTCGAATCCGCCATCGAGTTTATCCAAGCCACAGATTCTGCCTTCGCTGCCAAGCATGTGAACGGAAGTGTCGTCACGTGGGGAGATTCGAGCAGAGGTGGCGCGGTACGATTTGAGACTTTTGGGTGTTTCTTTCTCGCGTGTTCTCGCATGCATCGTTCTTGCCTGCTCCTTCTCGTGAGGGCTTGCGTCGTTCTTTGCGGGGTACTAGATTCCAGGGTTCTAGTCCAAAAGGCGCAAATGACCGTAGCAACAACAAGAAGAGTCACATCGTTGTTGTCGTTATCGTCGTTATGATCAGGATCATGAGGAACCCCCCAATTGAAGATGCAAGTACGCCTAAGTACGCAGGCAAGCAATGCGAAATTGAGAGAAAGTACGAAACAAAACACGCAAAAAGATGTCCATGAGCCATGCCGTGTTGATCTCACTGAGGTGGGGACTCAAGCATCGTGGCAGATCAAATTTCATCCGGGGTGGCCACGGACCCCTGCTACACGCAAACTTCAACGACGTTCACGTCGGAGACGCTCACTTCGGTAACGCTCACGACATCAACGACAACGATTACTACGGGGACAAATACTTCGTTGACCTCGACTACGTCATCGTTGACGCTCACGACGTCCACTTTCACCACATCGCCGACACTACGCAGACATCCACAAAGACACTGTTGACTGGAACGACGCTCATTGCAACGGTGACCACTGCAACGGTGACGTCCACCTCCATGACAACGACAACGTCAACGGTGACGGAACATAAGGAGCCTCGGCAGGGACTTCGGTGACGTTCCCGGCCAAGAAACTTTCTGTTTCTTTGTAGTGTGTGTCGTGCCATTGTTGTCGAAATCATTGCCTTTCTCGTCGCTCTGGTTGCTGTCATCGTGCTGGTTCCGTCGTCGCTTTTGTTCTTGGCATTTTCATCATGATGGCTCCTTGTATCTGTGGGGGTGCAGTGCCTGCAAACTCGGTTGGTCCGGAAGGCTTGGCCGTCTGGGCTGGGAAACGAGGGTAACCAATTCCGGCTTTGAGGCCAGACTGAATGCTGTGGACTGCGGCTCACGGGGGGCTCGAAACGCCCACTGCTGGCGCTCGCGGCGGTGGAAGTGGCATGGGCCATATTCGTCGTATTGAAAACTAGTTGCCGTGGCAGGAGCAGCAGTGGTAAGCCTGACTGGAGCCTTGAAGATGTTGTGCTTTAAGTGGCGTTATGTGCCTTTGCTCTGGTAGCGGGTAGCGGAAGCATCTGAGGATGGCATATCAATCAATGTGCAGGGTCGGGAGATTGGAGTGATATCGCCCGCGGTCTAGATCTCCCTTATTATCCTTTTCACGTGCTTTGCGTTCATTACCGCCATGTGGGTGATGCGGATGTGGCTCTGCAGCACCACTGACAACCAGCTTTCGAGGGTGACGCGATTCTTGCGTTCACGGGATCCTAACAAGCAGCTTTACGTAGGTGATGGACTCACGGTGGATCGAGACGGCGTTGTCGAAAATGCTTAGTGCGATGAAATGGGCGGTGAGGAAATGGTCGAAGTTGATTGTGTAAAGCTGTGTACAGTGCATATGATAACTGCAGATAGCCGCAGGCTTCTGCTTGGCTTCGATCCCGCCTGGCATAAAGTGTTGTAACAGCAACAGCTTTTAAGTCTTCAATTCTCCGATAACTGCAGATAGCCGGAGGCTTCTGCTTGGATTCGATCCAGCCTGCATTCGATCCAGCCTGGCATAAAGTGTTGTAGTCAGCAACAGCTTTTCAGTCTTCAATTCTCCCCCGCCGAACGGTGTTGTGGGGAAATCCTCTCTGGAATGTCAGCAGGTACGATGGAGCAAAATGTGTTTTTTTTATTTTTTTTGTGGCTGTCGCTTGATGTTGCTGCGTTGCTTGTTTGTTTGCACGCCGGCAGTGTGCCAGCTTCGCACGCATCCGCGATACAAGGTGTGCAAGGTACCGGCGATGTAAATGTAATAGCCCCAGAGCCGCAATAACCATGCAGGGCTCGATGGGACAACCGGCGCACTTCAGGCTTAACAACCAGAATATCATTGATTACAAAAATGAAAAATTAATATTGGCAACAGTAGTACTAATAGCAACAAGAATTAAGTTAACATTACAGACATGTTAAGATATATAGTGTGCATTGTTTCAGACACTATATTACATATAAATAAATAAATACATCTATACATACATATATATATATATATATTGTTTTCTTTCGTGCTGCCTTAAGTGTAATGAATTCGCGGCCTACTCAGGATGCAAACATCGCCAAAGCAGCTGTTTAATGTAGCCTGGCGCAGTAGTCCGAGATGCCCCGCATGCCGCGGGCATCAGGGGCAAGCTCGGTTTGCACTCAAGCCCTCATCCTGATGGCAAGCCCAAGCCCCCAGCCATACTGGCCTTGGACACTTGGTCAAAAGCCCAAAGGATGAGAAATACTTTCATTCCACGCAACAGCTGCAAAAAGGTGGGATGTAACCAGTACGCAAGGAGAAGCTCATGCTCACACATCACCTGCATCAAAAGCTGTCCCGCCTACAGACAGAAAAGCGAACATCAAAGCACAAGACTGCTCCATGAACTACCACGAAAGCAGTACGATGTACAGTGTAATATACAGCACACCACCGGGGTTCCGCATACCTCCAAGGCACGGGCTCAAGCCCCGTGCTAAACACGGGTTAGGGTTAGCGGTATTAATGTTGGGCGAGCGGGGCAAGTGGCCGAATTGACCAAGAGGCCTTCAAGTGGCGAAGTGGCCCAAGTGGGGTCTTCCAAGAAGGGGCGGGCCACTTGTGACCAGTTGTTGTTCTTTGTTGATGACATCATAGTACTAATACTACTAATAACATGAACGACACGAATAATGCGAATAGTGTTAATGATACTGGAACCCCTGCCCATGGAACGGCCCCCGCTCCTGGACTTGGACCTCCAGTTCGCATCCAACCAGCATGCGCACCACCGGGGGCACCTACGCGAGCTCAGACAGCTGTGGCAGCACTGCGCGAGCTCAAACACCGCTGGAGCCGGGTGTCCTCCGTTCTCCGTCGGCATCAGCCCCATTCTTTGGGGGCCAGGCTAGGAGCTCATGTGGAGCTCATATGGAGCTCATCTGATGCTCATGCGCAGCTCTAGGGCTCATTTGGGGCTCATGTGGAGCTGCACAGTGGAGCTCATTTGATGCTCATTCGCGGCTCTGCGGAAGGCCGCACCTCGGAACCTCGGCTTGCGTGTCCGATTGTCCTTTCGCGGCCGGCGGCGGATGAAAAAAAGTTTTTGAGGGGCCGTGGCACCTGTCACCCCGTCACCTGTCCTCAAAAGGGGTTTTCAGGCCGCCTGAACACATTTTTGGCCCGGATGGTCTTGCGTGGCGGGTGACAGCTCCTCCATGTCTAGAGTGAGTTCGATGGCAGGCTCATCTGATGCTCATTCGCGGCTCTGGCGAAGGATTAAAAAGAAATTTGAGGGCCCGTGTCACCCGTGACCCCGTCACCTGTGCTCAAAAGGGGTTTTCGGGCCGCCTTGATACATTTTTGGCCCGGCTGGGTGATGGGTGACCGAGGGTCTCTGGATTTTTTTTGTTAAGTTGCCGCCAAATGCTCTTGCATTTCCATTATGAGTTCGATGACAGGGTGACAGGTGACAGGGGGTGTCTTTGTTGCCGCCAAATGCTCTTGCATTTCCATAGTGAATTCAAATTCGTTGCATATCGCAGCTACCTCTCTCTATTACAGAGTGTCCCCGCCCCCCCTGAAGGCTATCCACAGCCAGCATCACATTTTCATCTCGATGCTCCTCGAGGCTGCAGGAATGCAGCCTCCAGGCTGCAGGACCGCATTCCAGTGACCAGCAAAAATGCAATTTAGGAGGTTTTTGGGCATGTATTTTCACATAAAATAAAAGCATACTTACAATCGATCGGGGCCCAGGCGCAGGCGACACAGGTACGTTTCCCTAGGGTGCAGGGGAGAGCTTCGTTGGACAGAGCTCCCCTGCACCCCCTTCGTCCCCCTGCAGGATGCAATCTGAAAAAGGAAAAAGACATCAAACACAAATCGAAAACGTCAGAACCTTAAAGAAGTGATGCAGGACATGTCGCATGTACAGCAGGATCGCACAAAGAGTACTAACGATCTGCATGTTGGGAAGGGCTTGATGATAGCAACAGCTCTTGACTTGATAATATGCTGTTCAGCTTGGCTCAACACCCTTTCCCAGCACTGCCTGGTGTGGGCTACCCCGGTGGACAGCCCCCAGGATAAATGCAACTCGGCGGAAAGCAGTTGCACGCCAAGTGTCACGTAGCAGGGTTAGCAGCTTTAGTCTCAGAATGCATGCTTCTGCAACAGTTCAGCTTTGTGGTCGCTGTCGAAATCTCATGTGATGGCATCCTCGGTATCAAACGCTCAGCCCATCACAGCTTCGTCCCCGCATGTGTCGTGTTCAAAAGATCCGCTGATGAAAACGGGGAGGATTGAGCTGGATCTTGGAGTGCTGCAGTCTCGTGCCGGTCGCGTTCAACAGTCGAGTTTGCGTTTGGATGTTTGTTTGACAGTGAGTTCTGCGCATGCGCAAGGCTATCTTCTTGCGAAGATACACCACAGTTTGTACCCCGCATAAGTGCTAGCAGCCAATAGCGGAACCAGCCTTCTTTGCAGGATGCTCCAAAGGTGTTAGCCCCAGAAATCCTTCAGTATAAATAAAGACGTTTTTTTTGTCTGCGTATTGCCATTAGAATTAGTATCAGTGCTGCCTTGATCATGAGTCATATACTTGTACAGCTGTTCATAAAAGCACTCTGGCAACCCCAGGCTGGGATGCTTGGTGTGGTTTGCAGGCGCGGTGCATGGCCTCCAGTCTTCCTGAGATGCTGAGTCCAGACCAACCGACAGCGCCCATTCTGCCGGGCGATCAGTGGCTCCTGTCGGCGCCGATCGCTTGAAATGCACAGGTTTGCGAGGCATCAGGTATCATGTTGTTAGTGCTGATGTGGCCTGAATTTCTGCACCTTTTTGTTGTGGTGTTGAGTTCCCAACTAATTGCCGGTGCCATCACCTCTGGGCGAGCTGCCTCTGGCACTCCGGCGTTGTTGAGCACAGCTTGATCGAAACCCGCTGCCGCTAGACAGGTTAATATACGAGCTTGATGCTTGCCAGAAAGTCAGCAGCTGGGCTGGCAGGCTATTGAGGTGGCGCGCGGCCATCTTTTCTTAGTCTGCCGGAGCTTCAGTTGCAGCCGCAAGCAAGTTGTGAGAGTACCAGGGAATCGCGAGCAGTCCGGCGCAGACGTTGAGGATACAGATGTGGCATCTGGTTGCGATCGCAGCCCTACTAGTTCCGGTTCATGGCCGAACACTCCCAACATGCTGGTCTGGGTCTGAGCTATCCAGCTATCCATCCGGTTTGCAATAAGACCTCATAGGCCCATAATAGTGGGATGTTGAATAACCATTGATGCTACATCCAAGAACGTATCACATCAGTCGAGCCCTAGCCTCAAGCGAGATTCCACCAGGGACTCGTCGATAGCCGGCCTCGGCTTTGACTGCACCAATGTCAATGGAATCATGGAGGCCCTCTCGGCTGCAAGATTTGCATGCTTGCAGGTTCTGACGGACGGTTTTGGGTTTGGCAGTCCCAAGATTCTAGATCTTTTAGGCAATTTCAGCACCGTGCTACGCTCCAGCTTGAAAATACCGGAGGAATGCCTCCGCGGCCCCAGGTACATGCACGGGCATTGAATGGCTTCATCCTCGCACCAGCCGGAGTCCCGGGCACTGCACTGCTCTGCACTTCGCCAGAAGGGAGTCTTTGCCTAGGGCTTGGGGTACATTCCTCACAGGACCCCTTCAGCAACACTGATAGCCAGCCTGTGGCAGCGACGGCCCCAGCGACTGGGGGAGCCATCGCTTCACTTCTCCCTTGTCATGTCTTACGACTTCTTTGCGTCTCGTCAGGCCCGGCACGTAGGCTCGGTCGGCCGCTCTGTCATTGGAGACGACAGCCAGGAGCGGGTCGGCTTTCCGGCGAGAGTCAAGGGGAGGGGCGCAGTCGCCGTCTCGGGAAGTGAGGACTGGGCCATTGTCAAAGGGGAGTGCGCCAGCGTCGTGAGCTCACGATCATTACTTCCGGTGAATCGTCGTATCATCTGTATTGCTTCCAGGTTAACTCAAAGGTGCAGAGCATGATCTACGAGAGGCTTTCAAGCATGTTGGAGCCTCGTGTGTGTTCGACTCATCCGCTTGGACAGATGCACGCACAACGTGCTCTACCTGCCCTACGACGGTTTCGACAGCATTCAGATTAAGGCATGGCGTGGGTGTTGTGCATTCCTGTTGGCATTTCTGCCAGATGCTTCGACGTGAAGCCGAGGTCTTCATGCCTGATGGTGGAATCACGGCCTTCACCCTCTCTATGGGTCTTGCCAATGATGCGAGCACCTCTGAAAGATCTGAACGTTCTTGTGTCATGTCTCTTCCCTGAATCATTTCAGACCTCCACACTGGATACGCTGTTGTTTGGCGCCCAGATTATACCAGGTAGGTCTGGCAGATCAGCAGCTGAATGCTCGGTATCAGGAAGATGCAGAGGCTTCAGCCAGCTGTGGGACCACCAGGTGGTGGGACAACTGTGGACATTACGGCCGTGTGCTTGGCAAATTTGCCTGGCCCAGCAATGCAAACAGAGTATGTCAACGGGTCTCGGCACTGCGTTTGCTTGTCGCGATTCGAACGTCTTGCTACTGCCCGGTCCATTTGCAGGTCACAGATCTGGAAAGATTCACGGCTGCGCAGGCACTTCTCTACTTCTCTTCGTGAGTTGTCTTCAATATGTTTCTTGAGTGGGCTGCCTGTGCCTGATCGTATTTCGCATCCTTCAAGCTAGAGCAGCAAGGGCAAGCTACTGGCACTAAACTTATAACAACATATTGGTAAGCGTCGACTATGTAAGACTTCAAGCATATACGACAACACCATTGCGTATCGATCTCAACCGCATTGGGGACACCCAGAGGCAGAAACCTTGGGCCGTTGGCGTTGGTCACGCCTGGCATGCGTTCCCGCACCCCCAGACCTTTTGAACCCTGAAGCCCGAAGTCCTACAGCTTGAGCCCTTGACTCCAAGCCTCTGAACCATGGGAGACTTTCCTCGGTGCCATGGAAGACAGGGGACCTGTGTGGTGCGGCCGCTGGGGCACTTGGGGGGATTCAGAGACCCCCGGCTTGCAAACCCCAAAGCTGTAATGCCGTCAAGTCCTGAAGCCTGACAGAACAACCGAAAGTGGCTTTCTGAGGACCGTGTGCTTGCTGGCACCCGTGGTCGCTGTTCTCGAGGCAAGCTTCGCTGAGCCTCGCTTTGAGGATGAAGATCGCTGGGCGAGGCTGTTGGAGGCCCAGCGTTTGCCGTTTCAATCTAACGGGACTGGCATTTGAGGGGTTTCGGGCTTTGGGGCATTCGTTCTCTGGTGCTTTTAGGGTTTTGGGAGAAGCGCATGTGTCGCGGCAGGCGGCTGGGGCTGCCCTGCAGTCCGATTTGGCCGGCACCTGCGGTGCCTGCGCTTGAGTACATTAAACCTGAAGCCCAAAATCCCAAATCCTAAACGAGGCGTTGTGTTCTTGTTGAGACTTGCGGAAAGGATAAAACTACTCCTTCGGCTGAACAATGCGACAGATGATGTCAGCATATGTATATATATATATATGTATACATACATATACACACTCACACACCGGTATTGAAACACATACACATACGCACCTCATGCAAATGCTCAACTGCATGTGGATAGCTGATCCTTACCCTGCCTTGTTGGGCCCTCTCCAGTCCTGGCGGCTGTCCATTGGAAGCCGGTCTGGCTGACGACACGTGTTTGGGCTGCACTCATGCTTTGGGCTTCGGTGGTATCGCACCCTTCGGGCGTTCCCGAACTTGGGAGATTACACATGTCTGCAGAACCTTCTAAGTGAGAGGCCTGAGGTTCGAGTTCTGGATGGAGTCCGTTAGAGCCTCGTTTGTTCTAGCGGCTTCGAGCTGAAATTAAGCTTGGTTCCACGAGGCCAACGGCTGCTCCATGCTCACATCATCGGCAATCTGCCTCTCAATCCTTGTTTGAAGCTCTTTTCGGGCACGTGAGTTTGAGTCTTCGGACATTCTGACATGGCACAAGAAGATTTGTCACCTGCAAGCTCTTTCACAACACGAATAAGAGCAAGCAGCAGCCGAATAGCCGTGTCAAGAACCATGATAGCTAACAGCTTAGCAGCTAGATTCGGGCCAGGTCTGCTTGCGAGGCGGTGCGGCGCACGCTTTGGTCCGGAAAGCGTGGGCTACTGGAGGATCAGGCCAGCCTTGGGCGCTTCGGTTTCAGCGGTTTCTGGATCATGGCTTGTAAAGTGAGGTGCAGGGGGGGTGTGGGGCTCGGGATTCACGGGTTCTTGCTTCTGTGGATTTTGGGATTCAGTTCATTCGAGTGCATCGCATTAGGTTCAGCTTTCGGTATTGAATGGCTATTCGACCCCCGTGCGAGTTCAGATGGCCTCAATAATGCTTAGGATGTTCTAGAGTGGTAGTATAGGACCACATGGTTTTGAACACTGTTGCTGTCAGGCCTGTGTGAAAGTGCAAGTCGGCGCCATCAAGCAAACGCAGAGAAGCTTTGTGTTTCCCGGCGAGGTTTGAGCGAAGTAGCAAACCCGACCAGCCCGTCGCCCGCAGCAGGGTCTTAGACAAAGGATGAACATCTCGAGCCCCCCACACCCTATACCCTTGATGCCATCGGTCCCCTAAGATGGGAAGGCATGGGCATGCTGGAGCTCGACGTTCGACACGGCGGACCTGAGCCCAGACAAGAAGCACGGCAGGTGGGATGCCTCGTATGCATTGCGCCCCTTTATTCCGAAACAGACGATACCCCCTAGCTGTCTGGCCTCTGCGCAATACCATACTACGCATGACGCCTCAAGACCGACACCCAAAGGTCCCCTTGGAACACCAAATGCTGTGAGTACGCAAACAACCCCAAACCCTACATGCCTAAGCCCTACAGACCCAAACTCACCCCTAAAACCTGTAGACCCTAACTCTTACATCCCTCAACCCTATAACTATATCCACACCCGGTCCCTAAATATAATAAGTATAGTACAAAACCCTATTCTAATTACTAAAGCCCCTATATCCTTAAATCCCCTATAGAGCCCTTATAGTAGCCCTTACAGCCCTTCAAAGGAACCCTACTCCAATTCTTTTAGTAAACCCTTCGCCCAAAGAGGGCTCGGTTGGCTGCTCTGAAGCTCTGGGAGCGAGAGCCCAGCCCGGGCTTGGCCCTGGAGCTTCCGGTTCGCTGGGTGCCCCAAGGCCAGGAGGGCCTTAGGGGGGGCCTTTTTAGGAGTTTCGGAGTTTAGGGGTTCAGGGCTTTGGGAGTTTCAGGAGTTTAGGGGTTCAGGGCTGTAGGGGTTTTAGGATTTTAGAGGTTCGGGGCTTTAGGGGGGTTCGGGAGTTTAGGGCTTTAGGAGTTTATGCATGCGGAGACACTTCGGAAGACACTTCGGCCGAAGCACTTCGAACGCTCAATCTTGCGGGACTGTCCCGGTGCATACGGCAGGGCAGTGTCTGTTATTATTAGGAAGACGAGGAAGTGACCCCACAATGGTAAACATCTGTAACAGGGGGTGGAAAGGGTTTAGGGGTTTAGGATTTAGGATTCAGGGCTCAGGGTGATTGAGGATTCAGAGGTTTGTAGACTAGAAGTCGGCAAACTACAGCGTTTGCTCTTCAGCGTTTCAGGTTGTCATCATCAGGATATGTGGTCATCAGTTTTTGCAGGGGCAATAGCAGCATGAACGCTACGTCGCTGAGAAGTAGGATATAGCATCATCAGTAGCACTCAGAAGCATGGGGCCGGGGCCATTGATCGCGAACATGAGTGATAGCTCGGCTCTACACATAGTGCAAATTCTGTTAGCGGCAATCAGAATTGTCTCCTTGATGAGCTTTCGGAGTTTCAGCTGCATCTGTTGTTGTAGGATCGATCAGGGTTGCTCGCGCCGTTTGTTTTAAGGAATTGGGGGCTTGCGGAGGCTTAGTGTTCGTTTCGCACGAGACCACTTCCTTTGTCGCGTCGAAGGCATGGTTGAAGATGCTGCCAACCCGGTTTCCGCGCTTCGCCCCGGCTGCCACTGGCAGCGGTTCTTCGAACTCTTTGGGGAGTTCCTGGGCAACCACAGAAAAGGAGAGAGGTCTCACTGCGAGACATGAGTACATGTAACAGCCTGCTCGAGGATGCCAAGAGGGAAGGAACGGGTGAAACGATAGACAGGCTCCGTGCCCAGATCTCAAATTCCATTCAACCCAAGGCAGCCGGAAAGGAGTTGAGGATAGTGCTGGTAGACATTGGCAGCACTGCCAATGGTATGAATGATGCTGCAACCTCCTGCTCCTCCTGCTGCTGCTTCCGTTGTCACTCACTACTGCTGCCTATCACCACATGCATCACTGCCGCCATAACGCACTACCGCAGTAGCACAAGCATTATCACTGCCGCTGCCACCGCAAGCACTAATGCTGTCATCATGTTCACCACAAGAGTATTGTCCCTCTAGAAGGCTCTTAATCCTCGAGCGCGTGCTTCGAGATTCCGGTCGCGTTGTGCTCCTGGCGCTCTTCGAACGGGCCTCTGCAGCCCTCGCAACTGGGACCAACGTTGAAAGTTGGATTCGGGATACGACAACTAGCAGAGTGGGAACTTTCCCGCCCTACTTGGGGATTATTCGGCTTCGGGGATGAGTGTTTTAGTTGATTAGAGTGTTCATTCAAGGTTTCGTAGCAGTGTTTCGAGCTACGCGTTGCCTGATGCCATGGTCCGATTGATCCGATCAGGATGTCTCCTGTTGCCTTCCAAGGCAATGTACGAAACTCTGGCAGGCTCTGCGGTTGCCTTGCCGTGAATCTGCAATCTCAAGCTGAGAACTGCCTTGTGCCCCTTGTAGCTGTGCAGGACGCTGTCTGTACTGGCCGTGTCAAGCACGGGCTCCCACCTTCCCAGCGATCTGCACCCTGCGAGACTACGACGTCCTCAAGGCACGGCCTGGGGAAAGAAAGCGACTCAGAGCACAGCCGCTGCTGGTGCCTTTGCTGTTGCTTTGCCTGGCCAGGCACAGCTGTGCCGAGGGGAGCCGGTTCAGGCTTCGGGGCCCGAAAGAAAGCACCGACATTCCGAAAGCATCGAAGCCCCGAAGCCGTGCCAACACTGCCGAGTTCCCAGGACGACGAGGCAGCCTACATCCTCCGCCGGTTAGATGGAGAGATGGCTCTGGAGTGGTCGAACCCGGTTCCCCCGGAGGCCCGTTCTGGGATGATGGTGACTAGGGGCTAGGGCCCAGATTCGGCTTTCAATGGCTGCAACAGCACGATGAACGACGAGTTCACAAGACGTTGAGGTGCTGCTCATCACGACGACCTCGCCAGCAGTGGTGTGTGGCCGTGATGGCCCCGTCGCGCTGCGTTTGGCGCACGTGTCCAAGGCCAGGAGCGCACTAGGAGTGGAAAGGCGAAAGGGGTCCAGAAACTCGGTAGAAATCCTGTCTGTTACCACAGCAGCCTTTTTACCACTTTCGCCCCAACCCGACCAGATGGGTGACCATGGTTCAGCTTTTTCTGAGCTTTCTCTTCCTTTGAGCTGGCCACAGGCTCATGCGGTCCTCCGCCTGTTCAGAGACACGTCTTCTGTCCCGGCTTCGTGGAAATTGACTGTCCAAGACACGTCGAGCAACGGAACCTGGGTAAATGGAACCTGAGCCGCACTGTCAACCTTGTTGTGGCTTTTTGTGGGCTTGCTTGAAGGCATTGAGTCCGCGTGCGTCGAACCTTGATTGTATGCAAGGAGTTCAAGACGAGGTCCCAAGCCTAAGACTGGAAGCCGCTCATGAAGCAGCCGCCCGCCGACATGATGCAGTCGACAGCCTTTCTGCGTCTCTGCCAAGGTATCAAGCTCAAGCCGAAGACCCAGCAGGAGCTGAAGCTGCATGACCAGGTTTGCTTCGTGCCACCGGCGCCGGCTGTTCGTCAGTTGATCTACCAGGACATTTGCTCGGGCAGCCCGGGGTAGCTTTGCTTTTGAAGTTGTTTTAGTCGTGTTTCGAGGCTTGCACCCGCAACCCAGTTAACGTGATTCACAAGCTTAGCAGGTGCTGCCTGGCAGCGTGCTCCTGCGGCCAGCGGCCCCGCCTGTGGTTCCACTGCAGGCGATGATGACCTCGGTTCCCGGTTCGTTGCAGCCTCCAGAAAGTATGTGCCGAAGTTGCATTAGATCAGTAGGTTTAGTGAAACCCTTTTTAGTGAAGGGTTTCGGAGGTTCGAGTTTTCGCGCTCTTGCCGTGCGCAGGTGTGAGAACGGGTGCCTCTGCCCGATGGGCAGTGGTGATCTTAAGTCAAAAGGCGCTTGAAGCGTACGGCACAGTGGAGAATTCGTGGAACTGCATTTCGAACCACAGGTATCGCACAGGAATGGTGTTTAGCTGCAGGACATGATTATACTCCACATCTTCGGGTTGAATCCGAACCCAAAGTTTGGCGGCTCCTCTGTGAACGCGATGCGCCAAACCACCAAGGCCCAACAAGCGACCGAGGCTTCAGGCCGCAGCAGGGTCAGGGGTTCCGAGTTTGAGGGCTTGAGGGCACTGTGGTTTTTGGGGGCAGAGGATTTGGGAGTTGAAGGTTCGGGGATCACGGAAGATCAGGGTTTAGATTGACGGATTGAGAGGGGTTTTGAGTGCTGGAAGCCGCATGGCAGTCTGTGGTGTTGATGCGCCGTGGTCTGACCTCGGAAGGATGACTCGCTCTCCTCTTGGTTGGGGCCGCTTGGCTCATGGTTTTTGCATAGTCATAGGCAGTGGAGGGTGCTGAACTAACAGGCAGCACCGGTCCTCGGGTCACTCAGTCGTTCCGGGCCTTTCTGCTCAGAGCGTACGGTTGCTAAGGTCTCTCGGAGATCCAGCAGTCCTTCGATACGAGCACCAGCTGTGCAAGATGGTTCCTGCTGCATCAGAGCTCCGAGACGCTTATGCCTACAACATCAGCCATTCAGCTGGTTTCAGTTGCAAACCATGGACAGATGGACCTAAATCCCGACACTCGAACACTACATGATTTTAAATGCCTTCAACACCAAAGGCCGTGCTCAAAACTGATGTCCACATAGGCCTACACATGCCTGGTGCACTGGCGCAGAAGCTGTTCATGCGGTTTCGAGGGTTTGACAAGGGGGACATCCGTCAGGTGGGTTTCTGGCCGAGCTCGGTGTGCAGGAGGAGCACAAAGCCACGTTCAGGCCTGTTCACGCCGATTTCAGTGATCATGGTGTAGACTCTCTTGGACCATACCATGCGGCAATAGCGGTCATCAACCTAGGAATACATTAAACTTCAAGAACCCCTGAATCCTAAATCCCATCCTGGACACCCTGAACCACATGTCCTCAATGATGCAATAAGCCCTAAGCCCTGAGCAACGAAGGCTTCCTCCAAAAGCCCGGCCGCAGGCGTGGCCTTCTTCAGCTACGCCACGCCAGCTGAGATCCAAAAAAAAGAGTACGTCGGGGCTTCCTCGAAGCAACAGACGCTGTATGGTTGGGGGGGGAAGGGGGCGATAAGGGTTCGAGTCGAGGCTTCAGGGCCGATGCAGGCTTTCGTCCTGAGCTTGAGGATGAACACTCAGCACTCGAGAGAGAGAGAGAGAGAGAGGTGCTGGGCAGTTGGTTGCGCAGCCACGCTTTGGGAGTGTCTCAAACTGCCTCTCTGAATCGAAGATGCCAGGAATCGCCAGTAATCTCAACAATGGAAATGGTCGCCATATATGGTATAAAACGCGCGAAACGAATCTGAGAGGTGCTGGAGATCCTCTGCGAGTTCGGCTCCCCGTCCGCGGTGATGACCGCAACGGCCGACTGGACTCCGGAGAGCGGCGGCCTAAGCGCTCTGAAAAGTTTCAGGATGAGGGTTGGGTTAAACGGTTAAACCCTAAAATGGGCCCCTTTTCCTTGGGTTTGGGTTTTTGGGATACTCTTAGTCTTAGTGTTTTGAGTTTCGGGGGCTTGGCTGCACCGATTTTGGGACCCTGAGATGCCCAAGCGGCTTGAACATATTCAAGTGGGCCCGGCCACACCTGCATCTGACATGAACCCCAACATCAGAGGACAGTGTACCTCTGCTGTACGGATCCCCTGAACGAATCCACAGAGCGATTGACAAAGACCTGAGTCACTGGAACATTGCTGGTTCGGTGTGTGAAGAGATACGACAAGTCGATCATCGTGCTTCAAGCACTGGCTGCGAAGGTTCTTCTGTTCTTCCCTTTACTGAGAATCTGTTCATCTTGACAAACACACTCAATCCTAGTGAAGTCGCTGGTGGAGGCAATCGAATTCACTGCGTGAGTCCACCACTGTCCCGGCGACTGGCAGCGGGCTCAACAAGTTCAGGGTATCATCTTGCTTGTTTGCGGATCGATGAGGGGTGGAGGCAAACCCGACAGATTTTGTGCGGCGGTCATGATGACAGACAACAGCAGCATGATGATGATGATGCTGATGATGATGATGATGATGATGATGATAGTGATGGTGTTCGCGATGATGCTGACGGCGATGATGATAGTCCGCCTAGCACTTGAGCAGAAAACGGAGATGACACGTCATGTCAAAACCACAGCTGCTGCTTGTCAGAACGAGGTCGCAGCGCCCGAAGTTGGAATGCGGGGATACAGCGAGGCGGACTTCACAGTTTGCCTCGGAATCACATCTCAAGACTCGGCGGGCCGTTGTCAGGAAGTGCCCGTCAACCTCCACTTGAAATACTATGCGAAGAGCTAAGATGCCGAATCGGCAGTGCTGTCAGATCACTGTTGGCAGCAGGGTTGCAAGCACCAGTTTGTCGAGGTCTTCAACGAAGGATGGAAGCGCACCGATGCGCTGACGTTTACATATCGGCCCGTCTCGGACTCATCTCATACCAAGGAGAGCAGAAGAGCACGGAACCGCTTGTGGGAACCCAGAACGGATCCGAGAAATTCGGGACATAAAACTCGGGGTCCTTACTCCGACTGCCCAAGCCGGTAATCGCAGTTTCGTGCTTTGACTTGCCAAGGAAATAGAAATCATCCAGAATCAAACGCCGCACGGCTCCCAGATTCCCTCGCGCTGTGCCAGCTAGCGATCCCTAAAGTCCCTTCCAGGCCTCTGGTGCGGCAGATCTTTCCCGGAGTCGTGCGGATTCCTGCCAAGCAACTTGATCTGGTATTTTTGTGCTCGGTGTGAGAGATTTTTTTGGCTGCCCACCTGAGGTATGATCTTAGCATGCCTGGGACTGAGTCTGCACCAGGCGCTGCATTCACACAGTTCCTGTGTGGGCTCAGGCCCAGCCTGCCTCTGATGCTCGTGGAAATGAAGGACCGGACAATGGCGAACTGACAGAAAGCTCGTATCCTTCGCAGAACTCCCCTCAACCCCTGCGCTGCCAGGACCTGCCACCGGAGTCCTACAAGAAAGAAGCCTTTGCAGCCACTGCCGGCCATCATCTCACTCGTTGCGGCCCCACTGTCCATACGTGTGTTTGCCGGTACCACCTCCCGAAGTAGTTGTTCCCAGTAGTGCGGAGGTGTTCACATTGATGTACAATGTACGGGAATCAACATGCACGCAGACGAAGATATAAGCCTGACACATCCGACAGACAGATAGTCCACATCGAGCTCTGAGCCGGATAAGCTCCCAGGGGCGGCTTCGAAGGGCGCCTTGCGCTGCCGGTTACAGGCGTCCGTTCAGGCCTCCGGTGTCAGCTCGGCTCTGCGGCACTGCTCCTTTGCAATGCCGAACAGTAAGGAAAGTACAGGGAGGGTAGTCACATCCTCGTGATCATCAGCTTCGTCAGTCATAGTTTCAAGAAGCGACCGAAGCCAGCAAGTTACTGCCAAGAAGAAGAAGCAGCACGTAGAGTGGCACTCATCCTCTCATGGTCTGCATCATACCATTAAAGGCAAGGCCTCCTTTTAATATCCAAAGCTACACGAGCAGAGACCAGAGGAATAGTAACAAGATCATGATGATGCCAATAAGTGCGTACCGTAAGGCATTGGCAAGCCTCTGTTTGCACAGGTCGCAGTGGAGGCATCTGTGCTTCAACCGCCGCTCGTGTGCTCAGCTTAGCCAGGTCCGCGCAGGTCTTAGTGGCCCTTTCGCATGACGTCCATGCTGGGCCTGCTTTTGTCATGCACATGACTGGTGACTCCAAGATCTTAGTCGATTGGGAAAGCATCGTAAGATGCCAGACTGCCCATCTCCATGGAATGCTGTAGCGGCAGTTAATGTTAGATGCAGTACTGCAGCGAACATGTGAGACAACAAAACAGTGGCACGAGAAAGCGGACGGCCCAGGACGACTCCTGCCGCAGGGTCGGAAGACTGGCCTGGGGTCCTCTGCAACGGGACTGCAGCTGCCGTGGGCATCCCTGCTTCTGACAGAACAACGTCTCGGAGGGTCATGAGGATCTGGAGAACTTGCAAGTAGCGCAAATTTGTCTGAGCGAATGAGTGTCTTTCTGTGAGTGTGTGTGTGTGTGTGTGTGTGTGTGCGTGTGTGCTTGTGTGCAAACGTCGGTCAGGTAGGTAGGTAGAGACAGAAAGACAGAGAGAGAGGGAGAGAGAGAGAGAGAGAGTGCAGTTCTGACATGATTCAAGAGGTCGTACGTCATCCAAGCTTGTAGTGTACGACGAAGCATGTCCCTTCAAGTTATCTGCTCTTTTTGCTTTTATCAGTTGTTTCGATACCCAGGGGGACATGCAGTGCCGTGCAAGTGTGAAGCTGTGCATGTGTCTGTTACAACTGAAGAACCCTGACAGCAACACTTGAATTCTATTCATATCTCTTATCAGGGGGACTCGTTGTCACTTTCACGCCCTCTCCAAAAGCCCCATAACACATGGGGGGCCCATGCGGCCGGGGGGCCTCGCACGCCTCCCACGCCCAGCAGAAGAAGAGAGAGAGAGAGAGAGAGAGAGAGAGTGAGAGAGAGAGAGAGAGAGAGAGAGAGAGAGAGAGAGAGAGAGAAGAGAAGAGAGAGACTGGAAACAACTGGCGGAATGCAGGGAGAGGACGACTCGAAAGACAACAAGTAGCTATTGTTTTATAGTATTCCGGTGTTTAGTTCGCTCGCTGGAGTTGGGAAGAGTCGCCACATACAGCAGAGCTCGCGAGGGACCAATTTCGCCAAGGAACCGCGGGTGTGCGCTCGCGCACTGGGAAGGTAGCTGGACAGCTGCCTGATTCACCCCCTGTAGAGAGACAGAGAGAGAGAGAGAGAGAGATCGATCTGTTTAGAGGATGAAACAAAAATGGATAGATGAATATACACAAAGACACGCGCATGCGCCTACACACAAAAATACATACTGGTACATACGTACGTACCTACATGCATACATTCCATGCCTACGTGCGTGCGTGCGTGCACACATGCATATAGTATAGTCTTGAAGTACATATACAGATAGGTACGCACATACGTGCATTCATGCAGACAGACATACATGTGCACGGATTTACTTATTTAGGCACATCCGTGCGCATATCCGGACGCAACGTACACCCGTGCATCCATACATCCATCCGTCCAACCGTCCATCCGTTCATCCGTCCATCCGCCCATTCATTTCCATGTCCATCGAGAGTCGTTCTGCAGCAAGACCTCATCACTTCAGGTGAAGGCAGCGGTGGAGATCAATGGCACGTCCCGTGCTTTGAGCACATGTCGCTTGAACTCATCGCAAAGGGCCGAACCGTATCAGGTCCTGGGCGACGGATGCCCTGGTGCAAATTTCCGTTGATGCCGGCCTCAGCTGGTTCGATGCCCAAGAGAGCAAACGGGTTGGGCAGTACAATACAGAGAGAGCTCTGAGATCTAAAGGGGTTTAGAGAGAGCAGAGTTGCGCGAGGTCACAGATCGCGGATCCTGCCCTCGTGACTTTGGTCGGCAGGGGCCAAAGTCGCCTCGGTGTCCCTTGTGTTGCTATTCCACCGTCAAACCCGCAGTCTGCTCCCTACAGCCCTGAGCTCCGAACCCCAAGCTGCTAAGATGTGAACTCTGGATGCATGGATGCAGAAGCCAGTTGGTTTCGCGTTGCTTTGCTTTGCACCCCAAGGCCCGGATGCAATGAAGGTGACTGGCCTGCTGCCCAAGGCTCCGCAATGTCGGGTTGCACGTTGATGACACAGTGAGAGTGCTTGCAGCAATGTTGATAGACTCGTCTTCATATTCCTGTAATCAGAGCGACTAGCCGGAACCTTCTCTAAACTGAGCAGTGGAGGTGAGACTCTCGTCGGCAGTGACCCGCTCTCAGTTTTTGAGCTACAGCGGTTTTAGAAGGCTGTATGGTTGTGGTCGTCAGCATGATCATTGCTGTTAGTATGAGTCATATTCATAGCCAGTAGCAGGTCGGATGTGCCTGCACTAGGGTCCACCATCCAAGGTCTGCCAACATCTCCGTGCTGGGCGTCGGCTTCAGCCTCCTCCACTCAGTTGAAGCCTCAGTGCAAAGAAAGGGTCACGGGTGGAGGGGGCAGCTTCTGTTGTTGGTGCTAGAGCAGCAGTTGCTGCTGCTCAATATTTCGGCTTTCGATACCTGTTCCAGATACCAATTTCATCACCACAATCACGACTGCATACCTACCGCTACCGCTACAGCTAGCACTGCTTTTACGACGACGGCGCGACGACGTTGCTCTTCATCAAATCTAAAAACACACTTCATCGGGTACTGCAGTGCGATATCTGAGGTTCCAAAAATGAAACCTAAATTTTGATGCAGCGAGCAAGATGTCAGCAGCCGTGCAGGTGATACGTCAGAACGCATGACATTTTGGTGATGCTGCAGTCGACTCGGGCTTTGGGCCGCCGAATCGCTTCCAGAGGATGACAAAGGCCTATCGCTTTTGCGACAGACGCATGCGACGATGTTCTCGACAGAATTGAGAAATTGGGTCCGAAGCTTGATGCCGTTTCAGAGGAGATTCACGGTCTTGGCCGTTTTGGCATCGACGGTCAGTTCGTTGCCGACAATGAGCTGACATGCGACTAGCTGGAGAGTTACGAAAAAACCCAGACATGGCGAAGGACGCGGTCCGCAACTTGTTCGAGCGCTGCCAGGCGTTAATAGGACAACGAGGCGAAACATAGCAGTTTGCGTGGTTGCATGCGCAATGATCTTGGAGTACCACGAGAACAAGATTCACTGCACGGGAGTAGTGGTTCGCGCGAGGAGCTTCCTTGTTGGTGGTGCTCAAGGCAAGGCATGTCAGGACAAGATCATGAAGTATGTGAAGATGGTGCTGGTCAGCCAGAACCCCACTGCGATATTGACATCGGGCAGTGCTGGCTCTGCAGCACATCTCGATTGATGTGCAGAGGAAGTCGACTATGGCACGAGGGCTGTATCCGCGTGTGCCAGATACAGTCAGAAATTTTGATTTACTCAGCGTCCCCCACTATAAAACAACGCAGACCGGTGCTCGGAAAACTGCATCTGCTAGCAGCAGGCCGAGGTACCTGAAGCATGATTGTCATGGCTATTCCCCTACTGTCAGTCTCAGTGCACTTTGCTTTGTACCCGAAGCTCGGCAAGAAACTGCCACGAAGCAATACAAACACTTCCTTTTGGTTGTGTGGTGGGTCTTTTTGAGGCCCTTCAGCGGGGGCAGAACAGCGGTGCCGTTCTGGAATGTGTGTGGAGCTTGGTCTTGACTCGACCCTCTTCGGCATGCGCCCATGCTGAGACATGGCCAGGTTTGGCTGCCGTCCACCGCGAGCACGCGTCTGCAGAGCTTGTGCAGGGTGCGATGCCTCCTGCTTGTCGCTTCGCTTCCTGCTTTGTGGTGTGCACGATGCAGCTGGGTTTTGTTTTGCGGCATCGTGGCAAGTTCGTAAGGCAAGTAGCGTCCATGATCCATGAATGCATGCACATTTCACAATGCCAGACTCCTGCAAGCATAGTGAACGACACCTTGATCAGCTGCCAGGGCCCCAACAGGGTTGCATCCGTGACACAGGTCATTGTCTGCGAAGCGACCGCAAAGTCCGTGTTGGTCTTCAAGTATTCCATCATTCTTCCTGCCGAACTCGTTTCGTTTCTTCGTGTCTTACACCCGCCATGGCGGGGTAGACAATGTATGAATGTTGAAACACCCTTCGTAGGGTAAATATGCAGTTGCAACACGGCGCAGCTAGGTCCCGAGCCTCCAAGTGCGGAGTGCATGCAGCGGCGAGGGAGTGCGAGTTACCAGGCAAGGTCATGAGAATGTGCACATTCCCGTTGCCCGCAGCTTGCGATGCAGGTGACGACCATGGACGTGCCCGAGACTCTTACCGGGATTCGGGTTTAAGGCTTAAGGGTCAGGGTTTAAGGTTTAGCGTCTAAGGTTCAAGTTTTAGGTTTGGGATGTCGTTGCATGGTCTTAGGTTTAAAGTGCTTGCTCTCCCGGTCTCAACTCCAAAGCAACGAGGCACTACGGCATCCATGGGGCGGCCACGAACCTGGCTCGGGGCCAAGCGGAAGCAGGTGTTCGACTGGAAACAGTCCATGCATGTGCCTCTACTTGTTCTTCACCTTCATATTGAATATGCGCATACATACCAAGAAGCGCATGGCAGTATAACAGGAAGTAGCAGCAGAAGCTGGGTAGTGTCTGTATTGTATAGGAACGTAGACTTGCATGCGTCGAATAGCCAAGCAACTTGATCATGTCATGCAGTTTTTCATTGTCTTCACTATGGCATGACATATGCATTCTTAAGAATGCATATCTCCGCCGCAGTTCTGTGACTCAGCCTCGGCATTGAAAGACTGTGAGGTCTTGCCGTGCGAAGTCTCTGATGACCCCAACAGCTGCCTTCACGTGGTCGTGCCTACGCCCGCCGTGCAGCAGGCTGACGTGGGCAGAGGAGAGTGGAGACTGTTTACCCTTGTAACAAGCTCAGCAGACGCTGGAGATTTCTGTCAGGCAACATATGCGGTCCCAGAAAGTGGCGGCAATGTCACCTTCGAGGACGGAGACCTGGGATGTGGATCCTTGCACAAGCTCAGCGGCTGAGTAGGTCGACGGTGAATGCCCATGATCGCATCCTATTCGCTTCCGTCTTTGACAGAGCTCCGCACGTATGCGACCGCGGGTTGATCTCCGCTGACGAGGTTGCTGGCCTGGATTCGGCAGCAGATGGCCCTGCTCTCAGCCATCGTCCACATCTTTCCGTCACTGAACGTTCGCTTGTCTCAATATGAGCAACCGCTTAGACTCTAAACTCTAAACCATGACTCCCAGCTCATAAGTTGGAGCAGAGCCTGCTCTCAGCTTCTCTCTCTGCCAGGCCTGATGAGTCTACTTTGCCGCTTCCGGCATGCGGCCAGCATCCTGGGGCCGATGTTCACGAAGCCCTACGTGACCACTGGGAAGCTGCAGGCCGGCGCCAAGCCCGCGAGATCCTAAACTCCGAAGGTCTGAAGCCTGAACCAGGGAGCAGCAGATTGCGGTAGCTGTTTCGGGCCTCAGCCCTAAGCTTCCTAAACCTTCAGGCCTTATTTTCTGAACTCTGGTAGCCCTAAGGCCGCAGCCTTTGAAGCCCTAAGCCCTTCTAGCCCCAAGTCGCTATGTCTGGAGCCTTGAATCGGGAGGCCTCAACAGTGTTCTGCACCTCACCCGACTGGTCCCTGTCTTGGCAGCAAGGGTTTGAGGTTCAAGGTCTATGGTTTTAGGGTTTAGGGTTTAAGGTTCTAGGGCTCAGCGTGTAGGGGTCTAGGGGTTTTGGACCAGTTGGGGGTTTCCAGTGTTCAGGGGTTAGGACTGGGAGAGTGCTGGCTGTATGGCTCAAGGGCTTAGGGTGATAAGACCGTGAGGCTCAAAGGTTGCGGTCTAGAGTCCGAGAGTTTAGGGTGCAAGGGTCAAGGACAAGAGTTTAGGCTTGGGGGGTTAGAATTTCGCGCTTAGGGCGACACGAGTCTAAGGTTAGGGTTTAGGGCTACACGGGATAGGGCCTAGACCGAGAGTTTACGTAGGTGACAGAGCTTTCAAGCTTTATGTTTTAGGGCTCAGGTTCAAGAGTTTAGGGTTAAGGGGTGAAACTCTTAAAGGTTTCACAGAGTCTTGGTTTAAAGCGTTCAGGGCTTAGGGTTCAAGAGCTTGGCGTGTGAGGGTTAAGGTCTTAGGTTTACCAGACCGGAGGGTTAAGGGCTGCGAAGGGTTGAGGGTTGAGCGCAAAAAGAGTTTCGGGTTTCAATTGTTTAGGGCCGTATACAGTGTATTTGTTGTTCTGTCCCTTGCGATTGGGATCCTGTACACGCGTGTGCGTGTGCCCCCCACTTTCGTGGTTCGTATGGTCACGGGCCATGATCTAATTTGTCATCCCTCCTGCGGGGTGCCCTACGATGAGCCGAATCCCTTACGAATTGCGCAATTCGATCAGCTGTGATGGATGCCGCAGCAGGTTGTCCGTCTGAATGACCCGTGATAACTTTCCTTCGCTAAGAGATTGAATCCGTGTTTCTCCAGCACTATGATCAGAAAAAATCCTGGACCACTGGAAGTCACTGCATAATCACGACCGAACATATCTGGCACATTTCGTTAAAAGATCCGGATTCAAGCTTGGTCATATTAGTTTAGGGTTTGGGGCTACAGGAATAGAGATTTTCAAAGGTTAGGGCTCAGGGTTACATGAGTTGGGGGGGGGGCTTGACGGTATGGCGCTCGGATTACAATCCTTTAGGGTCGCTGTAGGATGTAAGGGTTCAAGGCGCAGGTTTCATGAGGGTGCAAGAGTCTAGGGTGTAAGGGTTCAGCGCCTAGGGTCACGAGTTCATGGGCGTGAGGTTACTAGGCTTTAGGGCCCCGAGCGTGAGGTTACGAGGCTCTTGGGGTTGACAGTTTAGGGCCGAGGGTCACGAGGGTTTAGGATGTCAGGGCTTATGGTTGGAAGAGTTTCAGGGTTTCAGCATTTAGGAATTGCGTAGGGTTTAGAGGTTGAAGGCCTCTTTGGACGGCTGGTGCCTTGGCTTTCAGCTATTCATGTTGCTTTTTCTCTTCATCTTCTGCAGACTCTTTCAGCGCGCATGAAAGCCGCATGAAATTTATGATAGTTTAGGTCTTGCTTGTCACCTCAGAATCAGAAGCACATGACTCGAGGAACACCAGCCTCACTGGCGGCTTTGGTCTCGACCTTACCTTGCCACGGAACATGCTCTGCTCGGCGCGCCAGACAGAAGTGTGTATCCCTCTTGGCCCCTAGCCGCCCCGGCCTCTAGACACTAACCCATAGGGAGCCTTAACGGGTAGGGGGAGTGAGGGGGAGGTATGGGGCTTTAATGCACATAATAAGGACCTAATAAGGCCTATTTATGGAAGCATAGTCCCCTACCCCCCTCCCCATTTACTAAGGGTCCCTGTGACAAAGCCCTGGAAGATCGAGTCCTCAAGCACCCCTGCAGCCGAAGCATGTCCACGTTGAGGCCACGATCTCACTCATCGGACAGATGAGGCCTGGCTCGCAGAACTTCGGGACAGTACTCTCGCATCAAATTTACATGTCGTCGACATCAGCAAACTTCAGCTTTGAGTGAAGAGTTGCAGAGGTTCTTGTTTTGCGAATCACACTGTCCCAGCAACCACTGAAATCGTAAGATGTATGCCCACAGCACCATGTGCAAACAAAGAGTTGCCGCCAAGCATCGCTGCGTTTCAAATTCCCAGTGATACAATCGTTTGCGGCAGCTGATTGAAATAGCAGTCTCAGCAATCATATTACGCACAAAGGCAGCAGGCAGCAGTAGGTCAGTAAGGTCAGCAAGAGGCATGGTAAACCATGGTAAGGCCATTCCCGAAGGACTACAACCCCAAAGCCTTAAGCGCCTGATTCCGTAAATCTTTCGGATTGAAGAAGGCGTTCAACGAAAAAATACCTTTTGGATTGTCCAGAAGAGACTGCTCTTTGGAAACCTGGCCTTCAGTCTTCTAGAGGCTCCACCGTGGTGGTATTCCGTCTCTGCAGGAGGAATGCAGCCCTCAAAATGAAAGCCTTAAACCTCAGATCCTAAAGCCCTGAGCCCCAAACCTCCAAGCCACTGGACCTAAAGCATCCTAAGGCCGTACACCCTAAACCCTTCATTTTTGTGTTTGAAAAGTCCATAACCCGAAAGCTGCTGGGGAAGGAGTGGTGGTGGCTGGTCGACCTGACCTTGGACTCATCGACTCCTTCCTGGCTTCCTTCCGTCCCTGCTAAGGCAGGGAAGCTTGAGGGTTAAAGTTTAGGGCTTGAGGTTCAGGGGGCACACTTTTGAGGTCAGACATAAGCTGGCGGCACAAACTTTCGGGTTGAGGACTTAGGGCCTCCGGTTCGGTTGTTGATTCGTTGCTTCGATTTGTGGTTGTCGTGCGACGTAGTGTCCATGAAGAGACGGCCTGCTAAGTTCACTTGGCAGGTGAGCATCAGCAGATGGGCGCTCGTGGACAGAAGCCCAAGACTTACCTGTAAAGACACAGAGAGGGCTGCAGGCAGGAGATAGCAACCTTCATGTCCTGCAAGGTGAAGACCCTCCACCCTTGAAGAACACCACAGTCGAGGAGGCAAGGGTGTGAGGGAAAGCAATTCGCAGAAAGACAGGAAGTCGCCCCAATGAATTGGCGGAGTGCAACCGTCAGGAGCCGGAAGTGCAGTCCACATGCTGCAGCCTTGGTGTCGTCGATGAAGGAAAGGCACTAAGTTAGTCTTGCATTTCGCATGGCTGGCGGTTCAATCACCCCGAGGTTGGTGGTACAACCATTCATCCAAGGACTGTCAGGCCTTACATCGGAGTTCTTGTCAGAGATGCATGAAACGCAAGGAGATCATTTCGACGACAGGGCCTTTGCAGGAGGTCGCTGAAGCCTTGAAGCCTTCGCTTCTCGTAGGGGCCAGGTCCCAAGGCTAATGCTGTGCTCTTTGCAGACTTGAAGCTGTGAACCTAAGGACGGAACGATGGTTTGCAACTCGCCCGTAGGAGATGCGGGCGGAGGCCGTGCTTCTGTTCGGGATGTTCAGGATCGCGTCCTTTGGAACCCCTTCCAATACATCAGATGTCATGCAGAATCGGCTGGACCAAGCGAGGCAAAAGCAGAATTCAGCGCAATAGCAGAGGATCCACCCCACACCGAGGTCTTCTAACACACGCAGCATGGACCGCAGCTCCTGAAGCATTCTCGGGGGTCACGAGCATGCGCCTGTTTTGTTGCAACTAAGGGAGCTATTGCCGTGTCTTTGAAGCTCATCATCACGCTCACTACAGAACGATCTAATGCTTATGTCTGCTGTCCTTGTCATCCTTGTTGATTTATGTTGAACTACCTTTTCTATGGTTCGTTTCGTTACTACAACTCTTCTTGCAAGGCCTGCCGGCATGGTCGCCTGTAGACACACGGCAAGGAGGCACAGCCTGGGGACACGGTGCTTAAAGCCTCAAGGCCTCAGCGTAATAATGGGGATACGGCAATGAAGCCACAACAAGAATTACTTCTAGCACGAGTGCTAAGTACCAGCAGTCGTCATCGTTCGTGCAGCTCTGACACCGGAATGCAGCCGTGCCATGTCGCAGCTGATGCAACCCCGCAAGCATCCAGCTTCCGGTGCTGCGCTCTAGCCCTATGATGATGAGGAGAAGTATCGTTACTCTTAGGTTGATTCTGATTACTATCATTATTACTATTATTACTCTTACTATGGTTTCATTTGTTATTATTATCTCTGTATTCTTGCTACTTTGATTTTCGTACTACTAATAGCATTATTGCTATTTTATAAAAAATGATGTTTTTGTTATGAGTCTTGTTTTTGTTCTTACTTTTTTAGTGTTATGTGCTTTTGTCATTATTGTTATGGTTACAGGAAATCCTATTCTTACTTGTGTTCTTATTGCTACCGGCATTGCTATTGTAACTGTATTTGTCATGGTTGCTTTTCTTCTTCTTATTGCTACTGTCACTGTTGCTGCCCAAACCCTGAACCCTAAACCCTAAACCCTGAGCGGTGACATATGTGTCAAAGCATGTTGAGTGATCTCCGTGCTTACGTACTTGGGCAGGTCCATGGGTTTTAGGCACATTCTGACACTGGTGCATGTTGCGATTTATTGGAGGTGTGCCCAGAGTACGATTTGAAAGCCTGCAATGATTGCCAGGGGAAGGGGACAACAATGTATGCCCGCCAGGATGGGAAGCATAGGTGATGATGTGGTGGAGAATCCCCCTGGCGTGAGCTGTAGTGGGCAAACTGTCCCCTCATCCAAGCTGGAAGTCTTGCGGACACCAAAAGGCACGAGGGTTATCAAAAGAAAAACCCTGAGTTCGATACCCTTTACAGGCTTGGACTTGGCCGTGGCGACCGAAGGGCGGGAGCCCCGGGAAGCTGCGAAGACTTGGTGCCTCAGAGTTGAGGGATGAGGGCTCGAAGTAAGCTTTGTTTATTTAATGCACATCTCATTGTAGTACAGGTTTCACGCTCGGGGCTTCAGGTTTTACGTTTTAGGGTTTAGGATCCTCGGTTGGACGAAACGGCGGTTTCCTCACGAGGCGAGTGTTGCAATCGTCTTGCTTGCACATGATACAGAGGTTTGGGTGCAGTGCTGTCTGTGTAGGAACGCCATCTTTGGTGCCGGATCGTGGGTCTCATGTCATCCCTTAATGTATACAACACGGAGTTGCGCGCTCCTAGAAGGACAGCTCGGGTACCCGAACCTAGAACCCCAGATCCCGACTGCCAAGCCCTACAACCAAACCTGGAGCCTTTGAGGTTCAGGGTGTAGGGTAAGGGAAAAACCCTAATCCACGAGAGACGTTGAAAGCAGAGGTCCGACTTCATTCGGCTGCAGGGGGAGACGGTCTCAGGCACCTGGAAGGCACCGGTTCCGCGGGCAGACCTGGGCGAGCCTGAAATCAATTTTCATCGCTTCAGCCAAAAATCGGCATGTGCTTAAATTCCATGGTCCTTCACCCTGCGAGCCTTGTCCTCTCATGGAGAAAAGTTGTGTCCCTGTGTCTGCGGTAAGCCTGGCAGCAGGTGGCCTCTGCGCTGGACGTCATGGAGCCAGGCCTGCATCTGGGGGATTGTTAACTGTTGTTGCATGACATGAAAATTTGGGGTTCGTGACTTGGGGATGGATTCCGAACCTCCCAGAGCCCGAAACCGCCAAAAAGGCCTTGAGCCGTAAAGGCGCAAAGCCGTACTACGGCACTAGAGGCCCAAAAACCTGATTCCCTAAAGACCCAATAAGCTGCCATAATCCAGAAACCGTATTACTTAGTATAGATCCCTATTATGGCAACTTACACCAAATTCCTTAACGAGAACAAGGCCAGCCGGTTCCCGCCCTGGTGCCCACCTTCGCCATCGTCTGGAGCCTAGCTCGGAAGCCGATGCCCAGGCGATGGGTGGAGAAGATCATGGCTCCTTCATGCTGCGTCTACACACATGTTACGTTTCCGTGCAGCTTGCTGGTAAATGAACACAGCAACTCGAAGCCGTGAACCCTTACAAATGAGCACAGAGCCAACCGACAAGGTCCCAGATCTCACCCGGAAGGTTTGGTTGTCGTGTAGTCGCGAGTCTCGAGGTACCTAGCTTCATGGACCCGGAAGCTTTGCCAGAGGCTTTCCATGAGCATGGGGACACGACAAAAAGTGGCCGTTTCAACTGTTGATGACCTCCAGCCATTTGTTGTGTGCTCCTCCAGCTTTGCTGTTGCCCAGCTGGTCAGGGTAAGGCTGTATCTGCCAGCAAGGTCTGACAGTTGCAAGGAGCCACGAGTGCCCAAAGTAAGCCCCAGCCACAAAAAAACACGGAGCCGGAGAGGCAGCCATCCTTGTCGGGTATGGGTTCTCCGGCAACAGATGGCAGTTGCCTCAGCAACCATTGTGAGGATGGCGTAGAATTTGCACCTGCTGTGTAGTAGCTAGAGCTTCGTGTTGGGACGGAAAACTGCAACTGGCGGCCTGACGATGGAAATCCAGGGTTGATGGCGATGTATTATTGCGATTGCTATTGTGATTAGTCTCGGTGTTATAACTGTTGCTGCAGGTGTTGTCATCGTGATTACGTGCATGTTTCTGGTTAGCATTTGCTTGGCAGATATTGGGTATGTGTTGAATGTTTGTTCCTGTCATGGCAGTTGTTCTTGTTGCTACCTCTAATTTCAGGTAGTGCTACTTCCTTTCCCACGGTTTCCGGTACCAGTACGATTCTGCAGATTGCGATCGCTGTTATTCTCTTCATGCTTCATGCAACTACTTGTACTATTGTTTTGTGAGTTTTCGCCTCGTATAGAGTTTCCTTACACTTACACGGCGTGGTTCGGAGGCTGTGACAAGCATTCTCTTCTGCGCAGGACCTGCCGTTGGACTTCTGTGAATACCAAAGGAGTACCATTTCGGTACTTCGGCACGGTCATCAACAACACCGCCAGGATCTCAGGTACCCTTATTGTATCGAGTATGAAAACACTGTCAACCCCTGAATCTCACCGAAACACAAACGCATTACCTTCGTCGTTGTCGTCGCCGTGGTCTCAGTCTCAGTCGCTGCTGCAGCAGTAGCAGTAGCAGTCCTATCAGCATTAAGGTTTCGAATCGCAGTAGTGCAGTAGTAAGAGTAGTAGTCCCACAATTCCTAGTGGTAAAAGCCATATAAACACAATTCAGAAGAGAAGAGAAAAAAAACGAGAGCCTCTCCGCCCAGGCCCTAAGCTGCCCCCTGCCCCTGGAGCTGAATCGAACGGCTGCGTTGCTGGGGGCCAGCACGAGGCAGGTCCTCGCAGTCGGAAGTTGGAGGTTGGGGGTAAGGGTACGCATTGGCATTGATTCTTCGGTCTTCAACCGCTTCAGTCCAGGATCTGCGGCCAAGGCAGCCGCATTAGCAGAGTCTTTCGGCTTTTGGATTAAACTTTTGACATGGCATACAACAAACCCCAAAGCCACTAAACCTCTAAATCCCAGAATCCTAAACCCAAGCAGGTGGGAGCTGCAGGCTATGGTCGAGACCCCTTCCTTGAGCACTCTGCCCTTGGCCGGGGCCTCCTGGGCAGCTGGTGCGGGCTCTGGTCGGATGTATCTCTTCATGCAGGAGTGCCTGACGATACGAATTTCCACAGAAATATTAGCCATGATAAGAAGCGAAGCACTCACAGGCACAAAAAGGGACAGCCACGCAGGGTATGAGGACACATCAACCAGGCCTTCAGTCTCGCGTCCTGTCGCCCAGGTTGCAGAAGTCTTGCCCATTTCGTCCAAGCAGTATCCAGCGTCGCCAACTGACTGGGGACAAGGCGGGGCTTCAACTCTCGATGATGAGCATGGTTTCTATTCTTACGATGACTGTGCTTCTATTTGTCATGCGGTCGTGCTATTGTTGCTATTTCGTGGTTCATGGCATAGGCAATTATGTTGCCGTCGTTGCCTGTACCGATGTCCAAAGCCCGGAGGTGATTGCTTGCAGCAGACTGACATCTACCGCTTCCGCTTCGGCATTTGGCCCAGTGTTTCGGTTGCTTTCCCTGGCGGCGGGTGTCGGCCAACCTTGCTCTGAGGTCCATGTGACCGACGTCCCGTGACCTGTGCCGGGACCTGACTTCGCAATAAATGTAGTATTCGCAAGGATGATTATACAAGTTCCGATGATGACCATAGTGACATCATGCTAATACTGCTACAATTCGAAACATTACATACCAAGGCTGGCACTAACATAAACGACGACAACATGAGCAAATCAATAGCCATGAGCAACGCGGTTCGGACACCATACTGCTGAGGAGCACATCTTTATATTGCAAACAGCACCTGCCTTATGATGTACATGTCAGGAGCGGTCTCAGGAATGCTGTTGCTCCTGATGATGATGACACCACGGACAATACCAGTAGTGACCACGGGCAAAGAATATTTCCTCCATGCCGGGCCCAGGCGCAGCCAGTGTGTCGACTGACACCTTTGCCGCGGCCCCAAGTTGCCGAGAGAGGTTTCAGAAATGCATCCCAACCCTGAGGATGGGCGTAGAACACGGCGATGTCGATGCAGGCATGGCAGGGAAGTGCATTGGCAGAGTCAGAGTTTGGTGGCTTTGGTTTGTTTCGGAGGCTGCAATAACAACAAGCAGCTCTGCTGAGTTGCGACAAGGGCGCTAAAGAGGTCTGTACTTCGAAGGCCTTGGATCTGCGCTGCGGGATGACCTGATGGATGTGGCTTGGACCGATGGGGAGGCCCGCGAGGATTTGTCTGCACATTCCGCCGGTTACTGCGGTTTCGCAAGAACCCTCCCTGGACACATTTGCACTTTGTCGGCATGGTGCGGAGTTGGTATAGTGGAGTCCCGGCCGCTAGCCTGCATCCGATATCCGTCCACCTGTGCATGTTGCATGTCCAATGGAAAAGTGTTCCATGCACGGAATGCAAACCTGAGAATCCTGAGAAGAAGAGAACAGGAATGCTCCGTGCTCTCATGAGGAGCATTTCGACTAGTAGAAGGTTTCGGGATTTGTTGTGGGTTAGCGTTTCCTGTATCCTCTACTCTACGTGTGACTTGGACATGAATCTGAAGCACAATCAACCTTTCACAGCTGTTTCTCGCTGCTTTAGCCAGGTACTCAGTTCTGACATGCAGGGGGAGGTCCTCTGCGACATGGAGTCTGCGCTCCGTCGGGCTCTCAAAGGTTGCTAGGCTCGGCTTGCAAGTCCGGACCCCGGAAATACCGGAAGGGCCGTTCTAAGATACGGTGCCCTCGTAGGAGCTCGTCCCATTTTGCGATTGCTACACAAAGGATTCCGAAGCTGATTGTAATTTAGAATACCCCCTGTGGAGAGAAATTCGAACGAATCTCGTCACCAATCTATCTTTGCTTCAACTGAAGAACCGCAATACATCCCTTAAATCGCTAAACCAACAGGATTAGACTCCTGAAATCCTAAGTCCCTGGGCGCTAAGCCCGATTCAAACTGATACTCAATGCGGATGGCCTTTGACAGTGTTACATAAGGCCGAGCACCCGTTCCGATGGCGGCGACCTTGTCTGGCGCACAGTAGGGGTTTTGCAATATGGTTTTGGGGTCCCGGTCCCCTGCATGATCTTAGTCTGATAGACGACGCACCCTGCTATTGCATGTCAGCATGCTGCCTCTGTCCTCAGATTGCTCTTGGGTCCCTGAGTTGATGCGCCTGAGGAATGAGAGCCGGCCCTACCTTGTGGTAGCCATCTGTGACGGTCGGGATCTGAATATTATGACAGGACCGATTAATCTTATCATGGCATCTGACACTGTTGTCCTTAACCGCGAGCTCAGAAAAGGGGCCGGTGGAGATTTCCTCCACTCAAGAGCGCTCCGAGGGCTCGGACGACGTCCGCCAGCACGAGTGGCCAGAAGCATTTGGCCTGCCACCAAGAGGAGCTCCCACTGTTTCGCTTTAATGTCGCTGCTTTGTAGACTCGCAGAATGTTGATGTTGATGAAGCTTTGATTATTCTGCAGATCATGGTGAGCAAAGTTGGGGTTTGTGCCATGATGGTGAGCAAAATTGGGGGTCTTTGCCCTTATCGCCGCTCCGCTTCAAGGTGGACACCTGCTTGGTCCGTCCCGGGCTCGGCCACGACAGCAAAGCACCGCGGCAAGCTGCCTTGGGCACTTTCCGAGGTTTCCTGGGAGATGCCAAGCCACAAGCACTCGGCCCTGTCCCCGGGGCTTCGGTGCACAGGGCATGGGCTTCCAAGACCAATTACGACTCCCAGCTCCCAAACCTAAAACCCCTGAAAACCACAGCCCAAGCCCTAAACCTTAAATCTGAAACTTCATGTTCCGCAATACGAAAAAACTTGTAGACAGTACCAAAAACAGCAAGCCTAAAGCGGTCGATGCGAGGTTTCTCCCCGAGTCGGCCTGAAAGTCGCTCTTCCTGACCTACCGCTGCTCGAAATGGAGGCCAGGTGGGTCCCAACATCCCACGATCCTACGGTTTAGGGTCTATGTTATCAGGTCATTGATTTTTTGTTTGGTTTTTGTTTGTACAAGATATTGGTGTTTTGGAAGGGGTTTGAGAGGGTGCGGGTGTTTGTGGGGTGATTAGTCATCTGCATCATTGCAACTTGTATTGTTTATCATAATACAGTAGGGTTTCGGGTTTATTCGTTTCAGGGTTGCAGGGGTTTAGGTTTAGGTTTAGGTTGAGGGGCCATGGCACTCTGCCAACATGATGCGGCCTTGCGTTTTCTGTTCCATGCGACCCCAGCTGTCATGTTCCAGGACGATGAGGCAGGCAAGCGCCCCAAGGCGCATCTGTCGGTCGTGCGAGTTTTTGCAAGGTTGTTGGAGGCGGCATTTGTGCAATGTGCCGTCGGATCGTTTCCAAGAAGGTCATTTAGCATGATTATTCAGACGTGTACCAAGTGAGCCGTGTGGTCTTCTCCTTGCCAGGTGTGGTTAGAGACACCTCTGCAAGTGGACCATGCAGAGCAGTACGGAGGTTTGGCTTTCTCGATCGCAGTCCTGGCCTCAGACAGCACGTGCGGAGATGTGTTTGTTGGCTGCTCTCGGGTGCAACTCGGTGTGCGGCTCAGGCAGAGACGGAGAGTTCCTCCGTACACCTGGTCGGGCAGCCGGCGACGTGTCATCTTTCAGGCAAGGACTCCACAGCGCGCATGGTGCACCCTTTCGACTCAAGCGCGTTCTCCACGGCAGTGGCATGATTATTGTCAGTATCACCATCGTCACATCATCATCATCGTCGTCATCATTACTAATCATTACCACCATCACTTTTTCAGAGCGGCTGGCAGGTGACCGGAACGTGACTGACGCAGAGCAGGATCCTGTCTGGCACCTTGAATCCAGCAACTTGCAACTTGTTGAAGCGCCACTTCTTGTGCAATGTCGGACAAGTGGGAAGGTCTTTTAAAAAGAACAATTACTTGCAAGGACATCTACCAAATCTCATAAGCCGCCATGGGAAGTCCCAAAGTCAACCTGGAAGCTCTGGTAAAGCCGATTCCTATCGCTCATGCGCATCCTGCGGCCTCTGAAGGGTGGCGGAAGGCCCGGGGCCTCCGAAGCCGTTGAAACCCAGAACACCAGGCGGTGCCCAAAGGCGCACGGCACTTTAGACGGACTCAGACGAAAAAGGTGTCAGTGTTGATACTAAGCAAAACGTAACAATGATAATACTCCTGATGAGCTTAATGTTATCTCTCAAACAGAAGGCATCCGAAGAATTCGAGGCCCTTGTGGGACAGCCGGCCAACGCCGGGCGCCGCCTTCTCACGGCTACCTGGCATGAATGTTGGAGAGTCCACGAAAGAGCAGTTGACAAAGGATCTTTGACCATTCGGCTTATAGGAATGCCAGAGCCTGCGACGCAGGGTTTTGGTAGTTTGTCGCTTGGAGGTTCAAGGGCGGTTCAGGACAGAAGCAGGTTTGGCGGGAAGTTGCAGCAGAAAGCATGCCGACCAAGAAGGTCTGCTACCGTTTCCCGGGTGCTTGCGAGAGGGCTCAGACTTTAGGTTAAGGTGTGCTCGAATTGACAAGTTCCTCGAAGCTGGTGCTGGATGAGGCCATATCCTCCATCTCTGGCGTCATGCACTATGATGGCATCGTGCGCTGCGACTTTCGGCTGCCAGCGAGGTCCTTCCATCCGTGTTCGACAGGAACGCGTTGCAGTAGCGACCAAAAAGGCAATCTTGGCCGTGCGCCAGGAGCATGCATAGGAAAAGCTCAAACACTGAGAATCCTTGGCCAGGTCCGCATGGGCGGTGCTCTATGCCAATCGCGGTGCGGAAATTCGGGAAAGCGGGGATCCAAGAGTTTCCGGCAAAGGTCAGAAAACAATCTCACGCCTCTGGCTCCTCAGTTGCCGCTTGTAAACAATGTTGTTTCCACCTGGGGTCGCATGGCACCTGGCAGACTTCGGTGTACCTACTGCAGTTTCCCCCCCGCTGTTTCTGCCGGTGCTGCTTGTTTTTCTGGTGCAATCGGGACTGTTACAAATTACGCAACTGTTCACGTTGTCGTTCTTCCTGCAAGTACCAGCTTCATCATGGGCACCCTGGTTACTGTTATCGGCCGACAGTGTCGCAATCATGTTGCCGAGTGGCTCGCCGTCAGCACTGACACTCGGAAGATGACTCTTCTTGACAATGTTGCTGTCATTCATTCACGTTTATCATGAGCGAGTCCGCCAGTTTCACGAGCATGTGTAATCGTACTCGTACCGAATCACTAGATCACTGCAGCAGTGGTGTGCTCGCGCAAGTGCTGGTGCTACTGCAAGTGCTACTTCTACTGCTACTGCTCCTGCCGCTGCTGCTGCGACAAGAGCAGCTACGACCAAGAACCATAGCTTTTGTTTTGAGATTTTTTGGAAAAAATCTCCATAGCTTTTGTTTTGACTGGTCTGAGCGCCTTACAGATGTGTGAAGTCCCTGTCAGGTCCTTACCCCTGGATCCGCCCCGAGCTCGAGGCCGGCTAAAGTCGGATCAGTTTGTTGAGGCTTTCGAGCTTAATGTGGGGGCCTAAGTAGACTATTTACCTACACTATTTTGGGGGTTGCCTATTATAACTTATAACTATAGTATAAAGGAGCCCAAAACCCTATTCCAATCATGAAGGCCTCTGCAGTACGGTGTTGTCTGCAGTTTGCGCTGTGCAGCTCACTGCACCTGCATCCGATAGCTTCACAATCGCTGTGCTGCTTGTCTACCTTCGTTCGCAACTTAAGTTTTCTGTGTCTAGTAGAATGACAGGCCCTTGGCCGTATGCCGGAGACACAAGCGATCCGTAATCTACACAAGTCTGTTCGTGCATCAGCGTTGCCGGGTTTGTTGAAGTTACTGTTCGGGGCCAATCAGGTGCAGCCTGTGCATCACCACCTCTTCTTGCGCATTTCGGTCAGCGGCCACCGCACGGTCGAAAGCTCAACGAATTTAAATTTAATCCTAACCTGGCTTGCACAACTTTCAGACTTCTGCCTCAGCAGCGAAGCATTTGCAGATCAAGTCCAAAAGGCTTTTCATGCCTAGAGCCAAAGCAGCAATGCCCCCACCAACTAGGAAGGTGGCTGGAACAAGAGTTTGGATCGACAATATGTAGGGTTTTGAGTGGTATTCTCCTTGATGGTTAGCGTGATTTCCGAAAAGCAAACACTTGAGCTAGTCGGACATGGGAGTTCATTACCCAGGCCCCTGACCGTAAACTCTGACTCCAACGAAACGACTTCTTGCCGCAGGCCCTTGAGGCCAGAGTCAGCCTCTGCTATTTCTGCACGTGTAGCCGTGAAGCCATCCATTCAGGAGCTTTGTCATGCGAATGTAAACGATGCATCCATCAATCTCACATCATGCCCACCCATGCTTCGCAAGGTCACGCCCGTCCATTCCCCTCTATTATATTTTCCTTTCGACTTCTTGAGACCTGAGGCTTGGTCAGAGTTGCCCTTTGACTTCCTCTGGGCACTTGCTCCGTCCTACGGCCTGCGGACGGGGAGGGGCGAAGGTGGCTTAGGAGTTTCAGGTCTGGACCTTCCTGCTCCTGAATCCTGAAGCTTCAGATACCCGCTCACAGTCGCCGTGGCCGTGGTGGCCTGTAACTCCCGCTCTTATCGCTGTTATACACAGCATCTTACTTTTGCTAAGGTTGATCTGACCGTATCTGAAAGCCACAAATATGTACTCCTACAACAAAAACAGCTACTTCTACTTCTACTTCCATTACGGCTGCCGAAGGCACCTCCAGCAACGCCTCGTTGCCAGTGGCATCCCCAGAGGTTCCTGAGTACTGTCCTTCAATATCCACATCCGAGAGCGGATTCCGACTTTCGAAGACTTAGTGGTGATCCAGCACCGAAGTGTGCACGTGCTTGATGGCACCAGAAATTCATGAAGGTTTCGATGCGGACTCTGGTTTGCAGAGCCCGAGGTGACACAAGCCTTATTGTAAGAATTTCTGAAGTAGATTCCTGTGCCAAGGTCCTTCCAAGTTCTCTTCAGGCCTGCAAGGGGGTGCTCCCTGCTCCATAAAAGAAAAGGCTATCAGGGTTTTCAGAACAGGAATTCAGGATCTAGTCTTGGCGCCTCCGATATCCTTAGCGGAAGACGAATGGAGTCGCGCTTCCAAGCTCGCCTGTAGCCTTGACAGGAGACGACTCCGTCGAAGGACACCCCGGATGCTTCACCTGCGCATCGGCCCCGGCAGAACAATGGCAACAGAATTTGCGACATCAATCACGTCAATGATTGCGGAACAATCTCGCACATAGAGAGCATTGTGCATGTTTATGGTGCGTATGTGCAAGCTTGTAGATTCGAGGCAGGACGCGAAGCAACAGCAATACTGAACCTGCGAATAAATGATCCAAGTCACGAAAGGTAGCTGTTTGGAGCTTGCTGGAGTTGTCGTTCATAATTCCTAGGTAGCAGCTTGGGTGAAACACAGGGTCCACCCCCTTGAAAGTGTTGGGAGGGGGGGTGGGGGCACTCCCCCCCCCTTTTTGCTCGGTTCAAGGGCTCCCCCCCCAATGAAGGGTTTGAGCCAAGTTTGAGCCTCGATTTAAGGAGGGGGCGGGGAGCCCCCCCTCCCCCCTTGAAGGGTCGGGCGACTGAACCCTTATCCACAGCGGAACTGAGAGGGCAAGAATAAGAGTCTTCATAGTTCCAGAGTCGTGATCGAAACCCGGTACACGATGACAGCAGCTGGAAGAGAAGCATGACTTCATATCAGCCACATACATGATCATGAGGTTGAAACAAAAACACGAGAGGGAATATTGTTCTTGGCTCTGCTTCGTCATTCCAGGGAGTATGATGATCCACAAATCTCGCAGAAGAACAGTGCTTCAATCAAGACTGTCGTCATACAGCAAACCCCTTAAAGTCGGAAACCGGATTAAAGCCAAATAGTGCAGGAATTCCTTATACATTACTATTAAGGATTGAGGCTATGGGGTTTCCAACTTTTGGGCCTCTACTGTAGCAGCAAGTCATACGATACTCGGGAAAAGCGGGCTGTCGTTTTTGTACTCAGGCCTCTGCATGCAGATCCAGTGGTGGAGACGTGGGACTTCAAGGATTTCTTGTTGCTTCTGCAGTGTTTCACGGGTAGCCCAGGTAGGACGTCAGTCCAAGTTCTAGCAGTAGGCACCTTATGCATAATTCTACTATGTTTCCTTGGACCTTAATCGGCGCAATGGGATGCTGCATCCAGAGTCGGAGGTGCATGTCACAATCCAAAGAAACATGCAAGTCCTAAAGCCCGAGTCGGTTCAGCCCAAATGCACTCACCCTAAACCCCTAAACCCCAAACTCCTCAACCCCTAAACCCCAAACCCCAAACCCCTAAACCCTGAACCCTAACCCGTAAACCCCTAAACCCCTGAACTCCCAAACCCTACCAGGACAAGCTTGTCGCGCGGCTTTGGCCCGACTGGGGCTTCACCGAGGGCAACGCCACGCCATGGCCTTGAGCTCTTGAGCTCTTGCGCAACAGCTGGTTGATCATTGAACGTATGATCATTTCTAGTCGTTTTAGTATTATCAGTATGTTGCTCATATTTTTGGTATGATTAGTATGATCAGTATCATTGGCATTAATATGATGGTTCAGGATTTAGACAGAATTAGCTTGCTTCTGGCCCACAGCTCGCAAACTTTATGGAGTCACAACCCAAGTCCTAGACCCCCGAAATCGTAGCCGAACCAC